GGTGGTGTATGATCATTATCTGCAATTAGGTTGCGAATTGCGGCTCGTTTTAATTATACAAATTTTTTTTTTTTTTAATTTATTTTCTTAACTTTATATTAATAATCATAAACATCGTTAAACATGTGAAGCAAATTTTTTTTCACGAGTGACTCGTTTGTTTTGTCTGTAAAATTATTTCAAATTTCATTGCGTTGTTTCCTTTTTGACTTTGTAAACGAAAATAAATTTTGAAAAAAAAGCAGAACTTGGAAAACAGAATACAGATGCTGAAATTACACTTTGTTAGAGAATTTTGTAAGCAAAAGCCATGAAATTTCAAATACTTTAAAGCATACACATTATAACTATGTTTTCTAAAGAATCAGACAACATTTATCTATTAAATTTCCAGTTACAAAAACAAAAAGTCATAATAATGAAAATGTTTTACCAAACGGTTATTCATATAATATATGTATTTAAAAAAAGGTAGAAAAGTAAGAAAGAAGAGGAATCAAAGTACAGAGAACGTAAACCGAGCAAATTTTCTTTAGTAAAAAGTGTTGAGAGCCAAAATGTAAAAAAAAAAAAAAAAGAAAAAAAACATTCATTGTTTTTGTAAGTATGAAGTTTCAGTGATCCTCACAACCACAATCAACAAAAGTAACATCACAATAATTTTTATCATGAAACGATTCCCTGATACTGAGTGGCCCTTAAGTTATAGAAAAGTAAAACGGCAACAATAAAATGAAAAAAAAAAAAAAAAAAAGATAAACAACCCAGTACTTTTATTGTGACGTGACTGTGGGAAATTCTGCGTTGATGATACGATCATTATTAATTTTTCGTTTAATACGTATTAATATTTTTTTCCCCGCGTTCCTCGATAAACATATACATGTTTATGTGCGTTACAGGATGGTTGAATAAGAGGCTTGTGCAAATTTTTTAATTTACCTGAATTACACTTGTGCACCTGTACATATGGTATTATATGCCGATATCGTACGCGAGACTGAACTTTCAATAACAATAAAGTACTGAGAAGAATTATGCTCCCACCGAAATGAGCTCAGTCGCTTATTAAAAATCCAATCGAACGTACGATCTTTGGTATCAACTAAAAAATTGTTGCGGTAAGCTTGTACGACACTATAAGCGTAATAATTGCGATCTACGACAACAGCAGCATGCGATAGCCAAAAATAAAAAAAAACGCGCGCGCATCGTCAAAAATTCAACGAGAAATTGGGGATTATGTAGAAATACTTGATTGATTTATCGTGTAAGAAAAAACAAAAAAAAAATTAAAAATAATTTACCATGAGGTACCAAACAAGCTAGCACGTGACTCTTTTTTTCGATTATACCATTTGAATTAATATCTACCACGAGGTGCCTCCTGTCGTCATTTGAGTTTGTGATTTTTTGAGAGTGTTCATCTAAATAAACAAAAAAAAAATAAATAAAGCAAAAAGTATTTTGTATTACTAAAACGAAAAATCGTCAAATGCATCACAGTTGAAATAACGTCCAGATACAGAGACATGAAAAAATAAAAAATAAAAAAATTGATTCCCAATTGTGTAAGAGACAACGCTTTGGCGTCAGAAGTCTGCGGAATACAGCTACGAAAGAAAAACGAGGAGAGAACATGTATAATACTTATTTTATTTCATTAGTTAGTTAGTTAGTCGGTTAGTTATTTTACATGCAACAGAAAAGCTTGTTAGTTGACGGACAACAAAAAAACAACAACTTCAGTAACGCCGTCCTCAAGTGAGTGTATGATGAAAAAAAAAAAAAAAAATGAATTTGTGAATTATACATAAATCTAAGACACCTCGAGGAGCGAAAGATACACGATACGTTTGCTAATGATAGCGAATACAAGAAACGCAATGGCAACGATACATTGGTGCGATCCTCTACATACCTATATAATACTTGTGGCAAAAAAAGAAAAAGAAAGTGAGCACGGAAAGTGCAAAGAAATAAGCGTATGTATATGCATGAATAAAAAAAAGATAAAGGGGTGGAGGCGCAGTTAAAAAAAAAGTACTTATAAACAGAGCGAGATAGAGAGAGAGAGAGAGAGAGAGAGGAAAGAAAAGAGAGTATACCAGTACCTGACATGGTGTTTGGCGAGCGGCCGCGCAACGCACCCGCGTAGCTATTTATGCAGGCTTCGGGCGGGTAGGATAATAAAAAAGAAAACAAAAAAATATAAAAAACGCATGTAAGCGCAACAACGCAGCAGCATCATATATATATACACGTGAGAGAGAATCCATACATAATATAAAACAATGTGCTCTCACGCGCGAACATGTAATACATACACATATGTATAATATATGTCTCAGCTGCTGTTTTATAATATACAGATAGGAAAGAGAAAGTCAAAAGGTGAGGCCATCGGCAGGTGTTTCAAAATTGACACACCAGTGATAAAAGTTATAAGTAGTAAAGGATGTGTGCGTATATATTTTTCTTGCCTCTGGGTGTTTGACCCCTTCCAATCGTTATTGTGTTACTCCTTCCTCGATATCTATTTTCTTTTCTTTCTTTCTTTCTTTTTTGTCATTTTTTTTTTCTTTTTTTTTAATTTCGTCCGATTATCATTATTCTTTACTTGACCGTTAATTGGCTATGTTTTTTTTTAATTTTCAATAATAGTACGTTCATACTTTATACTGGTAGGTACATTAATTTCACTTTAATTACAAACGTATACGCGATTTTTTTATTAAAAAAATTGACGAGCAGTCTACTTGATTTTTTTTTTTTTTTTTTTTTTTCAATCAAAGGGCAGATCAAAAGCGATAAAGGAAACAAGCAATGAGAGGTCTCTAATGCGTTCATTATATACCAGCACACAAACACACACGCGCACACACGTACGCGAGGGGGGACTGCGTTTTTATTATACTTTGTACGAACAGTGAAACAAAAGAAATAGAAATATAGTTGCAACATTAGAAAACCTGCATAAGTTAATTATTAAACATTAAAAATTCAAGCACTATAATAAATTTGTATCAAGCAGCTTAACAAAAGTCTTAATCTAAGGGGGAAAAAAATGCCATTAAATTATTATTATTCAAGTTCTTTCAGAAGTAATAAATTGTCAAAAGAAAAATACTGGAGAAAAAAATATTGTGATGCATAAAAAAATTATCAACTACGTTTAGTATGTATATTAGAATGATTCCTTGGTTGGTAATTAAATCTAAATAGCTAAATACTGTTTATTTACAATTTTTAAAATAAGTTAAACCCAGTATCACAGCGAGTAACTGATATTGCATTTTTTAAGAAAATCTGATTCATATGGAAAATACAAACAAACATGCATCGTTCTAATAATTCAATAAATCAAAAGTTTAGTTACGAGAAAAATCAAATAATGATTGTCAACCCACTCTATTTCTTGGCAAATACGTAAGGTTTTTAAAAAATGTCAAAAATAAAAATAAAAAAGTGTGTGGGTGGGTGTTTGGCATGCTGCTAGTATAGAGAAGGCTAAGTTTTATCACCTGCTCTATATGTGCTTGGAATATGCAAAACTCTTCTTTATTATAATTTTTACGCAAAGTATTTTTCAACAAAAGAGTTTTAACATAGTGGGAGCATTTTGCCTGCCATTTTTTTCCACAAATATATTTAACACTGTCATGCAGTCACAATGTAAAAAAATCAGTATGCATCTAATTTTATAATTCAATCTGAAAAATACCTGTTTTATGTGAACCTGGTATGACGATGGGTGGGGTAGTTCCACCAGCAGATCTTGAAGCTGGAGTAGTCGAATCGTTTCCCTCCGTCCTTCTAAAAAGCCTACAAAAATCAAACATAATAATCCACGTTTACTAATACTCATTGATTATTTATTTGTCCAATTACAAACAGCTTATCATTCTTAACGAACCTGTGTTGTTTGTAAAGTACATTATTCACACCGTCTTCAGCATCGAAATTGTAAATATAGAGGTAACCATCCTCACTGGCTACTAATAACCTAGGCACTTTTTCTATCCTATGTAAGAGAAAAAAAAAAAAAAAAAAATGAAAAATTTTCCCAGTAATTCATCAGTCATTGCATCTACGATTTATTATCAAGCAATACTCACACTGCGATGGCACAAATATTTTTGAGTCCTTGGAAAGGTAAGTGAATAGTTGCAAAAGCACGGCCTTGAGTAAAGACTCCGGTAACTTGGGATGGTAAGTAACTCGCAGACGCGGTCAAGGCCATTGAAAAGTACCCGATCCAAGACTCATCCTCTTGTCCCGATTTGGCATCGCTAAAAGCAATCGTCCTCGATCACAATGCGTTCGATCCGTGATCGACTTAAAAATCAAACGGGCGCGGGAGAAGAGAACTTACTCATCTTGCGAGACTTTGACTTTGAATACGTGAACGGTTTCCGTGTTGCTAGAGACGCAGAGGAAAACCGAGTCCACGCTAAAGCTCAGGCTACTGATGGACACGCAACGTTTGACCCCCCGTCGGAATTCAAATAGCTTAGCACCATCGCTGACCTGGAAAACTCGGATGACGGTGCCCTTCTCGGAGGCTGTAGCCAGCTTGGCACCTTTAGTATCGAACGCGAGAGCCACGAGTGGACTATTGTGCGCGGGAATCATCGTCTTGGCTTGCAGATTTTCCGCGTCAAAGATCTGCACCTCGCCAATGGTGCTCGAGCCGGGGTACGCCAGGTAACAGGGCTCGCTAGTCGAGAGGGCGAACACACCTTTTGGATTTGGTGGCGTGTCGCGGATCAGGTGGGCGATTTGCATGTCCCTAATGTTGTGAATAAATATGTTTTCCTCCAGGCACACCACTAGTCTCTGGAAACAAGAATACAAAATCCTTGAATGCGTTTTATCATTTTCGATGGAAAATTAATTTAATCCATACATGGACGATAATAATAATAATGCGGCTTACCTTTCTGTTGAGCCTCACCGATAATACGGTGTTGCTGTAACTGTAGCTGCATATTTCCGTGCCTTTTTTGAAGTGACAGACCCGAAGCTTTCGGGGGGACGAAGTGTTGACTATCGCGATGAGACTACTATTGAACAGTCTCTCGAAAATGTACGCTTCTTCCGCTAAAATAACCGTTCATGGATTACAACACTGTTGCGTTGGAATGAAACTTTTTTTTTTTTTTTTTTTTTTTTTTTTTCTAAAAAATGTCATTTGTTATAATATCTCACCCGCTTCGTAAATATTGTCGATATCATCAACTTTGAGGAGCGAGAAGACCCTGTAACCTTCCTTATCTCCAACGGCCAGAGACCTGCAATCAGCATCGATGAGCAATTACTTAAATGTAAAAAGAAAAATTAATGAATTTGCAGTGGTGGTAGTGAAATAAACATGTATTTGCTTAACAATGCATTGCACGCCGAAAGAGAGAAAGTTGAGAAATTTAGGCATCGAGTTCTTTTTCGGGAAAGGTACCTGAGGGGGACAAGTGATTGTTGAGTCATCGATTTCGCGGTAATTTTTTTTTTCAACTCTTGTGCTTGGAAAAAAAAGGAAAAAAATTGGTGAAAGGACCTTTTTTTTGACACGTTTTTTTTACTTTACGAGCGCTTTTGTGCATGAATGTTTTCATTGTTTTTATTTTTTCATTACGTAAAAACGCGAACAATTAAAAAATTATGTAAAAATGAAAGCGAATTTTGGTGACAGCGAGAAATGCAGTATTTTTTTTTATGAAACGCTTGGCTTTTACAAATGGCTCTCAGTGTATAGCATTGTTACCGACGGAGCTGCTCATAAACAAAGCAGTAAAAAAAAAAATACATCATATATATTCACATCGCAATAGACTTTGCCACCAGCTGTTCTTCTCCCCCTCTCAACACCGCGCATTGCAAAACATATAATATGTCATCGTCGCCAGTCTCTAAAAATATATAAATTCTAGAAAATATTCGCTTTCGCTTAATTTCACTATCCTATCTCGGTGTCCTCTAAATTAATAATATTATTATTAAAAAGTGCGATCAAGAGGCAATATGTGACTAAAAGGAGAAAAAATTGTTATAGTATAAACTGGTCAGCTGTCAACTGCGAAAGTAAAGAAGGAAAGGAAAGGGAAAAAATCTGACGGATGACGGAACGCTGCAGAGAGAGAGCGCGTTTTTGCTTCTAATTCTCTCCGGGTTTCTAGCTGTCATCCAATGTATCATCGTTATAATTATCGTCATATCACACCATCCTCGTCACCGTCTTTTACGTACGTCGTGTACAAGAGAATGTTTTTTTTTTTTTTCCTCTCCGCTTTTACGCGCACCTCCTAGGGCTCCTACGCTTTAAAAACAAAGAGACGCGCAACACACAGATAGCCACAATATATCAATCGAGCAACAACGAGAGTACCTCTCTGGCGTTCTACTGCGTTGTATACATGGGTATATATGCTGATGGTCATGTTGTATATGTTAGAAAATATGCCAATAAGTTGCACAACAACTTTTACATATACTCGTAATTTAAATAACTTTGAGAATGGAGCCTATAATATATAGAGATAAAGATATATATATATATATGACATGATAGGATTCATGGTAATGAGAAATCGTATTACGATGATATATGATTGTATTTATAGTGTATTTAAAAGTTGAGAACTGAATAACGTCATTTATTAAGCTCGAACTTGGGCCATCGTGCAAAAATTTTTGCACTATTTTTCCTTTGAGGTTATAGGCTTCGGGTGGAAAAAATGAGCACAAGAGAATTCGGTACTTTGATTCGAAATGATGGAATGTATAAAAAAAAAAGTAACAAATCCTACAAATTGATGAAAATGAGCAATTCTAACGAACACGATAGAACAATTATATTTAGGCGAGAAAAAAAGAGAGATTATGATGTATACATAACAGATCATCGACTTACGTGTAGTCCTGGTTAAAATTGACGAATAGTGCATTGTTCTCAGGCTCTGCATGCTCGTCCGTCAAGCTCATTAGTCCGGATAAGGTGTACTTGATGCCTTGCGTTAGCGCCTCCACGTTTGATTGTTGCGGAGCCCGTTTTCCTTTGTTTGTTTTGCGTGTGCTTGACCTCCCTTTAATTTATATATTACATATGTGTGTACACGTGCAATCTTCTCTCTCGCCTCTCTTGACCCCTTTAATTGTTTGTCAGTTTCGGAGTCGAAACGAGGGCCTCACGAAAACAGCAACAATAAAAGATGCACACTAAGTAACTATAGCTAGTAATAATGTTGGTAGCTGTAGTCTAGTATTCCTGCACTGTCCGCTCAATATGTACATATATTATAGGTATATTTAAATGTACCTGCAAACGCTCTGTACCAGAGAGAAAAATATATACACACAACTAAGTAGACTAATGCACAACCCTGGCACAACACCTATGCATATAATATGCGCTTGGTTTGCACACTTTGTTTGTATGTATATATACACCTTGTAACAAGTAGATATAACAATAATGCACAGTTCAAGGTCCAAGGTACAGGTGATCTTGGTATAATTGTGCACTCAACGACAACGAGAGGATTGACAAAACAACGTCAACAACGAGGAATATACCTACGCACAGGAGGAGGAGGAGGAGGAGGAGGAGGCAAAAGATGAATAATCACTTAATCAGCGTGTAATCGAGTCCGATCGAACGTGACTGTTGCGTCGTATCTCGATGAAAATGCTCGAGAATCAAGAGGAGACGAGGCAGTTTTGTGCGTGCAAAAAGTACTTGTCGTGTAGGTATACCTTTGCAATAACAAGATACAGAAAAAAAGAGAAGAGAGAGTCGACGGCGACAACAAACAACGACGGTATACGGACGCGGACGGCCGCGCACACTGCAGCGATCTTTTGGAGCACACAGCTCCGTTCTCTCTTTCCCTCTCTCTCACTTCCACTAAAACTCCAATAATAAAAAATATAGGTATACATCTCTGTTTCACAACAATCTCCCCCCCCTCCCCCCTACAATCGAACATTAACAGTGAGCTATGTTGCTCGGCTCGTGGCAAAAGCGTATACATATGTTTATATTTTATGCTCTATAATAATTACTTTGCAACGATACTATGATAATAATTAATTTTCATAGGAAAGGACAGCAAAAAATTAAGTAAAGTTCAAATAAGCTCCGTTAGACTTTCAAGCCGAAACATTTTGTCGTATGGGGACTTAATTTTCCGTACCGATATAGTATCTAGATTGGATGTATAAATTAATAGCAAAATATGTAAATGAGGAAGCGTCCTTGGAAATTGGTTCGATGTAATACAACAATCCTTGAAATCACACGGTCTTTGTTTGCAATGCCTGCGATGACCATGAGAAGCGCTCAAAGAAAATATATATTTAATCAAAGATCGCTTCACGCTTTAAAATGTAGAAGTAAAAATTATTTAGGTATATATAAATATACATATATATATATATTTTTAAACCCTCTTATCTTTTGGTTCTGCTTTTCGCTCTGAATTAAATTTTCCGTTCTATTGTGTTTTGTTTTGAAACAATTTAGGTTTTAAGTATGTACCAGATTAATTAAAAAGAGGATAATATTATCATCGAATGTTTGGTAAAAAAAAAAAATGCTTAGACTGGAAATTTATTATTCTATAGCTTTACGCATCAATAATTTTTCATGCTGAATTTTTCTAACTACTATACTACGGTGACATAACGATGACTCATTGTGGGTAATTTCATGTTATTATGGTGATCTTTCGTGACATTGATATCGTTTTTATATAACTGGTCTAGTTGGATGAAATGTTTATAAAAATTGGTTTTTTTGTTTGTCACTGGGATAAAATGATAAAATCATGATAAAACACTTTTTTAGATATACGCTGCATCCTTCATTCATAAAATCAAACAACTTCTTTACGTTGCCATTATGTAGTTTTAAACAAAAAAATGAATAACGAAAAATACGCGTAAAAATCAGAATCACATTCTCAATTTCTCAGTAACTCAGCCTGAGAATACTGAGTTACTGAGAAATTGAGAATGTGAAAATATACAAACCCAAGTGTAACAATGCATGTGTATGTACATAAGTATACCTATATGTGACTCGTGTGCAAAATATATGAGTTCGGTTTGGGAAAATTAAATGGGGTGGAGTCGGTGAGGTCAGGGACCTTGGCCCGAAAAAAAGGTAATTGAATTTACGAAAATTAAAAAAAAAAAAAATCAAATTTTTACGCGTGTTTTTCTTTATTCGCTGTTTTGTTTAAAACTACATAATGGCAACGTAAAGAAGTTGTTTGCTTATTCTAGTTTATTATGATTTTTAAATGCCTAAATTAAATTTTTTTTTAATATTACTTTTTTTCACTTTTTTGTAATTTTACCTGAGGTAACATTAAATTGCCATTTATTGCTTAAATAATGGCTTAAAAATTATTCTATCACTGTAATTTTGCTTATTCTAGTTTATTATGATTTTTAAATGCCTAAATTAAATTTTTTTTTAATATTACTTTTTTTCACTTTTTTGTAATTTTGAATTTCGCGGCTAATTTTCGCCACAATGTATCATACAACACTATTTCTCACCCACAACCGTCAGTCATTAGTCCTGTGGTCCAAACACTCCCTCATCAGAGTATCCGCAGTATGTGTCCATCCTAGAAATCTTTTTTAGGCATTAAGTATTAAAAAATACAAAGATTCGAGGCAGGAAGAGGAGGAGGAGGAGGAAGTGGTGAGACGTAGGAGACGAAGCGGAGAAAAATAAACACACAGCAGAACACCGAGTCAGCGACATGGCCGGAATCAAAGGTTACTCTTTGCACATAATTGTAGATCATTAGATTTTTCAACCCAAGCGTATTGTGGACACACGATCATTTTCTCGGATTAAGTAATTGATTGTGCCGAGCTTAATGTCAAGAAGACGAACTTGACAATGTCCAGGAGATCGTTAGACGCGACAACATTCATGACTTCGTGATGTCCATATAGTATTATTGTGTCGGATGAACTTTTTGATTTTATCACTGTACCTTTTTTTGCATTTTTTTTTTTTAGTTTTGCTTGGTAACTTATAGTTTTACTTCTCCATGACCCAAGTTATTATGACACCTAGAAACTATAGTTGGTTTTTATTCACCATAGGTTTTTGTGTGTTTCTGTTTCATGTCGGCTGCTCATTTTTCTGGTCTACAATAACAATGTTTAGCGTGAGTATACAATTTCTGACGAATTTCGTCACTTTTCTTCAAAGTATGGAAATAAATTTATATTTTTGTCTATTTTAGGCTCGTTACATTAGCCTTTGCAGGCTCTATTGGTATGACATTTGTCATACTAGGTTGTGCACTCCCAGCTTACAAGTAAACTAAAATTGACATTTTAAATCAGAGCTGTCCAAAACTAGTAATCAAAGGTCACGAATTATTTCGATTAAATTGGAAAATGTACACATGTGGAAGGTTTTGATGATAAGACAATAAATATATGAATAATTTGGGTGTTGAAAAATTTGAGACTGGTTGATAGACAGCTCTGTTTTTGACATAATACGTATTTGTCCAAGTATTTTATAACAGTGTTTGATTTCAGAGTCTGGTGGCCATTAATGGTAGTATTATTTTATTTATTATCTCCAGTACCCACATTGTTAGCAAGGCGTTATTCAGAAACCACAGGATCTCCTAGTAGTGCATATTTAGAGTTAGCAATATTTGTAACCATGGGATTTGTTGTATCGTCATTTGCTCTTCCAATTGTGTTAGCAAGATCTCCAGAAAGTGATCCAGTAGTAAGTAAAATTTGTTCTCTATAAAATATAAACGAAAAAAAAAAAATCCATTCGTTTATTTATTTAATTTTTTAGATAAAAGTTGGAGCATGTTATTTAACATTAGCAGGCAATGTTATTGTTTACTTGACTATTATTGGATTCTTCATAGCATTTGATCAAGAAGATTCAGACTACAGCATGTGGTGATGTGGTTGACAATTGTACTTATTTGTTATGGTAAAATTTTTGTTTGTAAGCTTTATACATTTTTTGATAAATTACTCTTAATTTTTTTTCCAACAGATAATTTACCTGATCAATGTGAAACGAGCGTTTCAATTTCTGACAGACTGATTGCTACAATTTTTATTCTAAATATAAATATACTATACAATTGTAATACATTACATACACACGAGTTGGATCGATATTTCTACTGTATTCAGACTATTTGTATTGCCTCTCAAATGAATCATATACAATGAGCATTTTCATAAAAATATTTGTACTGAACACTAAAACTTGCGAGATAAAAAAAAAAAAACAAAACAACTAGCTTTAAAAATGTTTTTGGAAAAAGTTTTCTGCAATAAAAAAATTTAATTCCTATCATCATTACTCATTCATTTGTCGTTGTACTTATAAACTTACCCCCATTGATGAAAATGTGAAAAAAATAGTTCATACGAAATAACAGTACTTTAAGTATATGCACGGAACAAAATAAATCTTGTATATAGTATGAATATGTGCGCTTATAATATAATTATAATTATAGCTGCAAATCAATCATTTGTTAAGTGTCGAATTATTTAAAATTTTTTTCCACGTTATGAAATTATCTTTAGAAATACTTTACATTTCAGGTTCGATTCGAATTACTTATTTGAAGTAAGTGAGTGAAAAAATTCATCTTTGGTGTTTTCCGCAAATCCGCAATTGTCACCATCAGCAAGTAATTTTAGGTTGCGCTCTACGTTACCGTCAAGTCAGTAAGTCAGTCACCTTGAATTTACTGACGCTTTGTTCCGTAATCTGGCCAGTAAAAACAGCATACGACGTATGAAAGTCGAGTAAAAAGTGAAGATTTTTATATTGTTTATTGTCTTTTGCTTTTTTTACTATAACCATTACACATTACGGAACAGAGCCATTATACAGGAGAGCCGCTTCGAGACTTCGAGAGCGCCAGTAAATTCAAGGTAATTGACTTACCGATTTGACGGTTACCGTGTACAGCGCAACCCAAAATTACTTGCTGGTATTAAAGACCGTAAAGATTGCGGAATGCGGTTTGCGAAAATCACGCAAAAAGAGAAAAGTCAAACGTGTCCACAACAAAGTTTATATATTAAGTATATGTCTAGAAATTCACATTCCCACAAGTTAGTTTTGATTTTAAAAAGTTGGATTTCAGTTTCAGCACTGCAATAAAACGTGTTGGTTTTTTGTTTGTAATGAGTTTGAAGATTCAAGTGCGGAAGAATGGAGGTGATTGAAAGTCTATTGAAAACTTTTGGGAGTTCTTGGAAGGAGAAAAACAATGAAGCTGCTTTGAGAGCCTTAAAAGATGCACCTGGATACATACGAAATTTGACTCACAGGGATGGTGGTAAGATAAAATACGATTTGTATAAAATACATGTATTATGGTAAAATCATACACTTGTAAACATTTTTATAAACATGCAGGCAGAGCTCTGCAGATATTGTTCGATGAGAAGCAGGGTGTGCTTCAGTTCATTCATACTGTGCTGAATGAGATGAGAAAACATGATATCGAAAATTTGAAAACTGCTTTGAAAGAAGCTTTTGTAGTTTTGCAGATTCTTATAGAATTATACAGTAAGGATTACGAGCCTTACGTTGAGCAAACCAGAGTAAGGTTCTCTCTTAATTTTCTTCTCGCTTCTTTCTTTGTGACAGAAAATTACAGAGCTGGATGATTTCAGGAATTGTGTTTTGCTTGTATAAAAAGTACTTGTTGGTATTATACAAGAAGAGCAGCCACTGAAACTTATCAACAATTGATTGAACATTATTCGCATCATGACTTGCAGTTGGATTTTATAGTTGAGCATTTCACTTTGAGGTATTTGCGGCATTACAACAGGAAAGGTAAATAATTTTTTGTCTCAGGGATAACTTTTGTACAGAAGATAAATGAAAAAACTTTTCTTTAGAGGGCTGTGTATTTTACATGCTCATTGGGACAATTGCCAAGAGTTGTCCTATTAGATCAGATAAGTTGACTCAACATGTCAATGAAATTTACGTACTATTGCTTAAGGATTTAAAATATCAGGTTGGTATTCTTAAATATCTTGCTACTTATAACATATTTGTATACCTATTGAAAATTTTAGTATGTCAGCTGCAAGAATAAGTCAACGGAAGAAATGAAAATCTACATAGATTGCTACATCGACATGTTAAAAAACTTTGTGCCATTTGCAGAAGATCGTGCTAAAAGAAAAGAATATTTGGAAAAGCTTTTTTCATGTATTTCCGATATATGCTTTTCTGAACGTATGGCTAAAAATATCAAAAGCAAAACGACTTACTTAATTAGCAGTCACATGCACTTGTTTTCAATATTTATTTTTGAAGAGTACAAAAAATGGCATTCTTTATTTGTTAGATGTTTAGTTGAATACGAAAGTTTTACGAATATTGGAGCACTAAGATCTTTTTACACAAGTATGGTGTCATATCTTTACAAGTGTGACAACGAGACTGCACTGGCACCTTTCCAGTTTTTTAAAAATCATTTAACATTAAACCTTGAAAATAAAAATTTATCTTCTCATCACATAAGGGTGTTAATCTACGGTCTTGGAGAGTTTTCTTGTTTGTACAGAAGATACGCTAACTCAGAAATGCATGATGTTTTTCAAAAAATTACCATGCAAGCATTACCTTACTACACAAAGTAAGTACATGCATTTTGTTAAGCAATGACGAAGCTTACAACTTTTTGCTTTATTTATTATTTTCAGGGAAAAAGAGGCGGATGACGATTTCGAATGTGTGGCTCAATTTTTAAAGGCTTTAGCGCAATTCGTGCACTACATGCCTGATGCTTCGAATTATCACATTGGTGTTATTATTGAACTAAGCATATATTTTGTGAAACGATATGGAGAAACAAAAATGCAAAACAAGCTTCATGCGACAAATGCATTGAAAGATACATTTCACCATATGAGCAATTTGGAAAAGAACATTCAGCATGAATACTTCAATTCATTTTGTAACTATAACTGTTTTTTGAAAAACTTTTCACATTTTTTACCATAACTTAAATCAACCATTAATTTTTAGTCCGAGAAGGAATCCTTCAAAGTTGTTCACATACTCTGCTAATTGATGTGGAAATCAAAGAAGAAATTGAAAATACCAAAGAGCTGTCCTACAAAAACTATTTGCTTCTATGGAATGATTTGTTTAAAATGGACAACCAAGAGTATCCCAAGTTTCTAATATATCAAATTTTTAATGAGATGGTATCAGTATTCGTTTCTTTTATAGATAAATTGAATCTGAGCATAAAGACTTGCGATGATGAAACGCTTTCTGGCTCGTCCTTTTTATTCAAAGCAGAGAACGAGTTAGACTTTTTGTTTTTCATCAATCTTATTGACTTGCATTCAGAAATTTTTTGCGAAGTTGATAGTTGTTTGCTACAAGCATCGGTTGAAAAACTTTTGGAATATTTCATAAAGTGCTCGTACAAGCATCCAATGGTCTCTGGATTTTATAAAATTATCAAAGTTATTTTTGAGAAACCGGACGTATTTACAGATTACAAAACTTCATTCGGCAAATCCACGCGTGAACTGATTCCTCAGTATCTGTCTGATGTTCTGAAACTTGTTGGCGGCTTTTCCGACGAGTTGCAACTTACGTGCATCTACATGATATTCGGCAGCCCGGTATTTTTCATAAAAGATTTGATCCAAGAAATGTCATCAATTTTCAAGATTGCTTTCCACATGGGCCTAACAGACCTTTCAGTAGCGTTTTGCGCGCTCAGCACACTAGAACAGTGGATCAAGAGCATTGAATACAAGTATCCAGCTGATCTCATCAAAAACATTATTTATTACCTAGAGCCGTACCTCTCGAGCGAGGAGAGCTTGGTAGAATCATTTCGTGGTGTCGAGAAAAGAAGGGGACACAATTTACAAAGTACACCCGTCCTTGACGATCAAGGCCTGGAGGAGTTTCAGAAGAGAATTTTGCTGTTTTATGGGTCCCTCACCCAAACCGACATACTTTTTGATTACATTCACGAAACGTCCAATCGAACAAACGCTTCGTGGACCAAAAAAAACGATCTACAGTGCGACTTGCTTTTCCCGGACATTCGTTTGGAAATCCAGTTCGACACTTTTCTCCCGAGGGTCATTGAATTGACAAAAAGCGGAGACATTGGAGTGAAAATTTCGGCATGCGAGCTACTGCACACATTGATTACAATCATACTGGGCAAAAAGCTGATGGACCAGTGTTTCGACAAAAAGCTGTGCTTCGAAGTTTTGAGATTGGGCTGTGACCTGGACGACGCCGTGAGGAATCTGTACCATCCTTTCGTCATTCAACTGACGCATTACCTGAGCTCCAAGTTTATGAAAGATTCTCGAGTACCGCAGGATTTCGTGGACTCTCTATTCGACGGCCTTACCGAGGAGTTTCACACGTCCATGCGGGACTTTTGCGGGTTGTATCTCAAGGAATTCGTGCAGTGGTCCATGAGACAATCTACCGATGCCGATCTGACCAACATTCGAGCGATCGTCCGCCGGATCACGAGCTTCGCTCTGTTTCCGTCCAACAAAAAGCGCCTGGCTGCGGCTATTGCCTTCAACAATCTCTACACTATTCTCAGAGAGAATGTCAACATCGTGAACGACTACTGGCTTGAGTTTTTGCACGCGTTCGTCAAAAGTATGGAGGAGTACGACGACGTGCAGACGAGCAAAGCTCTCAGCCACGTGGAAAAAGTCATGGTAGTCAAGAAAAACGTGTTTGTTGCCAAAAGCCCTGTCAGGAGGAAGCCCCCCGGGTTTACGGATGAAACGCTCAAGGGCGTGCTTTTGTGGCTGTTCGATCAGTGTGGTTCGATCAACACCAAATGCCGACGCCAGTGTATGAGGATCTTTGAAAATTTGCTTCCTTTCATCCCCGACTTTGAAGTTGCGAGAATTTTCACCCTAGCCAAAGTAAACGAAGTAGTTTTAGCAAATCTCGAATGCGAATTCGATATCATTACACCACAGAGGGCGAAAACGTTCTTGAAAAGCTTGGATTTTTACAGCTGGATTTTCACCAAAAAGTTTCTTCCCATTGATCGCACTGAAATGTTGGATAGTTTTACAGAAAATGATGGAAAATTTATTCGGTCTGTGGATTGTTTCGTTTCGATGATTACTGGAGCAAGTAGTCTTGGAGATGATGCGCTGCTAAACATATGTACGCACAAAGAGGTCGAAGAAAATAAAAGGATCATTAACGAAGTGACGTCGGAAATTTTAAACTTTTTGACAGTAATTTTAAATGAAAACGACAATTGCGCCAAATGCGTGTCCTGGAGCGAAAATTTATTTTTATTGGTAGTTTATTGCTTGACAGAACCGTCCAAGGTCGAACTAACGGCCAACTTACAAAATTTCGAAAAATTGCCCAGTCAACTGGAGAGTCTCTTGAAATCCATGAAACAAAAATTACCAGAACAACAGTTTGATCAGTTCAAAGAAATTTTCTTAAAACGTACGAGGCGTCTTTTTCTGCAGTATGCAGAAATAACAGACATCATAAGTAGCAAAGACTTGTACACATTAAAAGAGTTTGTCGACGGTTTGATAGTATTGAGAAAATGTGACGTTTTTGATTTCCAACAAAAGTTCAGCATTGATTTTGAGTTTTTAAACGTGAAGCTGAAAGCAATGTTTGACGCTCTGAAAACTGTGATAATGAACTCTGAAACGTGCAGAAAACTAGACAATCAAGTTTCAGAGTATTTGAACAGGTTGATGAAATTTTTCCTAGAAGTTTGTGAATCCGACGTGGTCGAGGTGTTGGTGCAGTTCATTGCGAGTCGGTACAGTTCATCGTTGACGGCACCAAATGGAACTGAAATAACTCACGGCAAGTACTTTCTTGAAACGTTCAAAGAACCAATTTTGGAGTTTATGCTGAAGGATCCAAAGAATACTCTAAAAGCCATGGAGAAAGTCCTCAAGACACGAATAAACAGTGACGAGATTTTCTACCTAGTCAATGAGTTGTTGATTTTTGCTCAACGTCAACGGGGCTCGGAAGAAGCAGAAATTCTATCTGACGAAGTGATTTCTAGGTTTTCTCTATTTTCCGAAAACACGAATAACATTGAGAGTAGAAAAACACTATTTTTCAACATCAACAAGAAAGCCGTCCAGTTGAAAAAAAATCCAACCACGGCTTTGAAAACCAATGGAGAGACCAATGAGTTTAAGACCTGGCTATTCTTGGAGCTCACCAGGGGTGATTCCGACTTGAGTAGAAAAACCTTGATCCTAAAAAACTTTGCTACCTGTTTGGTGCACGAAGATAACGAAACCTATCATAGGGACCTGATAGTCATCCTGTATCAGCTGAGGGACATGAATCCTGAACAGTACTCGATAAAGCTGAGGAACGACGAGCTTTTGAAATTCCAGTCGTCACTGTGCTTTAAAACTCTACTGAAATTAATCGTCGTCACCAGGTCGACGATCATTTACGAAATGGCCATGAGATTCGCAGCTGGTATCCACAAGTTCTTATCCAAGGAAAACATCAAGGACTACCTGGGGCCCTACTTTTCCACCGTATCGGATGAAAAGGCCCTCACGTCGCTGCAATCAGCTTACAACGTGTGCATGAAGTCGACCTTGACCCAGGCAAGACTAGACGTCCTGAGGCAGTTTCTCTTGCCGTCGATCGAACTGTGCAGGAGTAGCGTGATCGAGAAATTTTACAGAGAAAAGTCCCAAGAAATGTTGGAGCACATCAGAAAGGACATGGGCAAACTGTACTGCGACCCGGTGGATAGAAAGAAACTAATCGTCTCCCAGATGGCCTGCTACAACATGTTCGAGGTGATGCTGGCCAAACACGAGGTCGAATTCGAGAGCGTCCCGGATCCTATGAACAACAGCAACGTGGAGCCGCTGAACCGAATCCTCATCAAGCAGATAATCGATTTACGAACCTTCAGTGCCCAGAGCGACGACGAGAAGGAGATCACGCGGCTCCTGCACTGCGCGGCCGTTAACTGTAGCGTCGCCTTGATCAGTCTCAAGGACGAGGAAAAATTCTACAAACTGGTGTTCTTCACAAACAAGGAAAAGGAACAGCTGCTCTGGGAGAGGATCTTCGACCTCGACAGACAGTACGACTTCAGCCAGGCGCCATCGAGCATCCGCAAGGAGCGCAAGAAGCTCATCAACATCAGGCGTACCCTGAAAAACGAGCAGGACCCATCTTACGTCCGACCCTACGACCTTGCGTCTCTGACTCTGCTGGAGAACATCCACGCCTACGATCTGAACGACACGACCGTGCTCGCGCAAGCCAAGCAGCCCTCGACCGAGGACGACCAGAGGCTGGACCTGGGCTTCGAGAGCGACGAGCTTAACGAGCACGAGTGCATGCCGATGCTGGTCGGCGTGATCATCCACATGTACAACAGCGAGATAGTCACCCTGCCGGAGTCCGAGAACCGGCAGCTACCGGTTTTCCTCGACATGTTCCGGAGTGGCTTCCTCACCAGACACAACAACGCCAGGCTCCTCCTCATGAGGATCATCTGCAACACCAAGACCGTCTTCCTGCACTACATGCGAGAGTTCTTCCTGCCGGTCTGCGAGGCCGCCTACATCTACCTGGCCGGCTACCCCCTGAACTACGTCATTCGGGACGTCCTCGTGCTGTTCATCGAGTCGGGGTTCGAGCCGATCACGGAGTCCGACAAGCTGGCGGCTCAACGGCTCGTGCAGAACCTGATCCCTCGGCTGCCCGACCAGTCGAGCTCGGTCTACCGGTACAACCTTGAGATCTTCGAGGACCTCTGTCGGATCTTCGGCAAAAGGCTGAGCTATCCCGAGGCGCTGGACGAGCTCGCCACCAAGAGCCCCGACCTGGCGATCCAAGTGGTGGTAGTGTTCCTGCGCTGCGGCGTGGAGTTTGATCTGCTGCCCCGGCCCAGCTTGCGGAAGCTGATCAGAGAGTCGGTCGCCGAATACAGTGGCAGCGAGACGATGATGACGATGCGCTTCGAGGCCATGGGCTGGTACCTGGGCCACGTGGACGAGGAGGGCTTCGAGGCGGAGAGAAGCCGGTTGGTCCTGGTGTTCCAGCAGATGAGCAAAAAGTCCCAGGGAGTGTGCGTCAAGTGCATCTGCGCCCTCTACCGGGGCTGTCGCTCCGAAACTCGGTGTCGGGACTTTTTCAAGTTCGCCCGGCCCGCCGGCCTCGGCGACGAGCTCAAACCACGCTGCCTCGAGCTCTTTCTCCAGCGCGTGCCCGACATCGATCCCCTCGAACTGCCCGTGGAGCTGACGCTCCTGGATCTCCGCGCGATTTTGCGCGAGCGCATCCTGGGCTGCGAGGAGGCCGCCCTGAAGATAGTGACCAGACTCGTGCCGCTGCTCGCTGAGCCCGAATTGCGGCCGTACTTGGAGCTCGTGGCCTCGGGCTACACGGGCCTGCACAAGTCCCTGCTGGAGCACCGACGCCTGGCTTACGCCGTCCTCGCCGAGGCGTACACGGCCTACCCGCCGCCAAGTGGAATCGCCGAGCTGTGCTGCAGGGCGTTGGTTCGCGCCCTTACCGACCCGGCCGAGGAGATCCAGCAGTTGGCGCTCGGCTTCTGGCGAGAGCGCGTCCACCTGCCGGACACTTGCTGCGAGCGGCTGCTGGCAGTTCTGGAGCTTTACGAGCCGGAGTCGCGGGACGCGTTCGCACGCTTTTTGTGCATCCTCGCGCTCGAGCTGACGAGCAAGTCGATCGACGACAAGAGCGTCATGTTCCAGCCGCTCGCCAATTGCACCTTTCGGGACTACGAGGTGCTGGTGCCCTGCAGAAGGCTCAATCTGGGCTCCATGGCGCCGTTGTTTGCGCCCTCGTTGGCCAGCCAGATCAACCGGCTCAGTTTGATGGGAACCCAGAACTTTGCTGCAGGAAGCCTGAGACTCGTGGCCACCAAGGACCTCAGCTTCGAGCCCACCTTTCAGTTCGCTGTCCCGTGGGACGTGCGCTCACAGGCGAGGTGTATCTTTGTTTTGTGCGTACGCGTAAATTTTTTTTTTTTTACAATAATCGTGGTTACTTTTTGTTTCAAGGACATTGCCCGATCCCTCGCAGAACAGTCTGTCGAAGCGTCTGATCGCCGAGTCCCCAAAGACTTACAGCGACTACCAGCAAATGGCGCTGCACAGGAGAAACGAGTTTCACAAGAAATTGAAAAAGGAGTCGGAGGCTCGTCGGAGCAGCGCCAAGGTCTACCGCAAGTACAGAATCGGTGATTTCCCGGACGTCGAAATAACTCACGCGACCTTCGTCGAGAGTCTGCGCCGGTTCATAATGAAGGACTGGCTGGCGTGCAAGAGTTTCGCGGTGGCGTTTGTTTGCAAGCTGCTCGATAAGCTCAAGAGCAGCGACAAGCACCGGGCCTTCGTTGACGGTCTGTCGGTGATTTTTAGGCGCGTGTTGCAGCAGGAAGACGAGAGAAACGACTTTGCCCCCGTCGTCTTGGAGATCGCCCTTCACGCCAAGCACATCAAAGTGGATGCCAGTGCCGTTGGAAAAATCTGCCGGAGCATGGACTTGAACGCCCTTGGCATACTCTTGCTAGAAGAGGAGAGTACCTACAGCGAGGATCCGAGAGACAGCACCGGCTGTCCTCCCAGCAAGAGGCCGAGGCTGGCACCTCTGCACAAGGATAACTTTATACAGCTGGCAAGCTTGTACAAGTCCATGGGCATGACGGACGTCGTCGCGAGTATATTCAGACAGCCAAACATGTTCCCGGAAAAGCTGCAAGAGGCCGCGCTGGCTCGGCTCGAGTGCAACTGGACAAAGGCCAGACAGGCGTACGAGGCAGCCTACAACGTGACGTCGGGTGCCGAGAGGGACCACTGTCTGGACGGTGAGTTCGAGAGTTTGGCTCAGCTGGGCAACTGGGAAAAAATCAATCGCAAGACCGATCAAATCTTGGATGGCAATTACGACAACGTGTGGGACGACCCGAGAAAGAATCAACTCTTGCCGTGGATCTTTGAAGCACAGCTGCAAGCAGCTTTGGTGAGCTTCGCTTCGGACGAGGAGCCTGACAACGCGGACTTTCTCAGGCACTTTGGCCAGTGGATTTCCGAAAGTGAGGTGAAAATGAAGCGTCTCTTTGGCGAGCAGATAGCCATGTTCTTTCTGTGTGGCTCGGCTCCTGAGGAGAAGGCCCGGCACGCTCTAAAGTGCTGCCTGGAACAAGTTCGAGAAAACTGGGTACGCTCGAGTCCGCTCTCCGAAAATCCGAGGTTCAAAATGCTGCTGCAGTTTCGGGCCATGTTCAACATAGATGCTTACGTTAAGGTTATCAGCTCGTCGGGTAGCGCGAAAATCGAGGAGGACACGCGTGATTTACTCAAATACTGGGATCAGCATCTGCCCAATCTGACCGACGATTTACTGTCTTGGAGTAAGCTGCTGACTTACAGATTGAGTTTCATGCACCTGTTGCACGAAAAAATTCAGAATGATTCCGAGGATTCAGAGTAAGTAGATTATTATTTTTTTTGTTGTTATTAATAGTACTGAGGAGGAATCATTGTATAGAAGTTTTTTTTTTTTTTTTTCAGTCTGTCAAACGAATTGATAGTCTCGAGTGTAAGGCAAAGAACGAGAATGAGCGAACTAGCGATCCGCAACGGTAATGCGTCCGTTTTAAAGAAGAATCTTACAAAAATTGAGCCAATATTCCCACAGTTGTGTACAACCCACCCGGAATTGAGTAACGAGTTCGAGTTGAATGCCTCGAAGTACAAGTTTGTTAATAGAAAAACGGCAACCGACTCAAAGAAAAAGTTTAATTACTACCTGTGCTCTTGGGAAGTGGCCAAAGAATTGTACGACCGCGATGGCATCGACCCTACGGTTTTGCTCAATGTCAAACGTCACCTTTTCGATTTGACGTCATGCTTGCTAGAAGAAGCAAAAAATGACGGACAAATGCTCGAACTCTTGACCAACAATATATTTGCGTGCGACACTTTGGAAGTTTACAGTTTTAATTCGACTTTGCAAGCTCTGGAGGACTACTGTTTTAGAAAATTGGAAGAAACTTGTGCTATGGGTTCAGAAAAGGAAAAGAACGAAAGTTTTGCAAAGTTGGGAAGATACTGTTACAACTTGACACAAAATTCGAAAATCCGCGATCCCAAGCTGGATAAGCAGCTTGTAAGCTCGATACTAAATGGAATGATGCTCGGTTCTGCCGAAGCCGCTCGTTACTTCCCGTGTCTACTAAACAGCAAGCTCTACCAGAAAAACGAGGAGCTTAAAATGACCTTTTCTTCTATGGTCGTAGACGTGCCAAGTTGGATGTTTTTGACTTGCAAAGATCAAGTGGTCTCGTATCTGAGTGACTCGTATCTCAGGGATCTCCTTTTGCCAATAGTCGCGAGGATTTTCGACGATTACCCGTATGCTATTGTTTATGATTTCAATCAGCTGAAAAAAAGCATTGGACGGGACGTAGGTACAGACATCTGTCAAAGGTTGGAACATTTTTTCAATGTCAAAGGAATCAAGGAGTTTATCAAAGGGCTGCACCACGTTTGTCAGCCTGAACTGTACCTGAAGCACGAGCTGTTGGATCTTTTTGACGGAAGAAACTTTCAAGAAGGCGTCGACACACTGATGACCGATTTGTACAATGAGGGCATGGAAGATGCCAAGAGTAAACAGCAGGGCACCATTTATAAAATTGTACTGAGCAATTATAAAGAAGATATCAAGAAACTGAAGACTATGGACGTCCAGACGTCGAAATTGTATGTATACCAAATGGGCGATATTTTGCAAAGGGACATGAAGAGACGTTTACAGAACAATAGAAGACAGGCATTGCAATTGAAGGATTATAGCCCGCATTTGGCATATTTTTCGGGTGAAGATTACGAGATCGAAATACCAGGGCAATACGATGGCAGTAAAAAACCACTGCCCCAGTTTCACGTCAAAGTCGCCAAGTTTGATCGCTTCGTCCGCATAATGGAATCAAAATGCAATCCTATTAAAATCAATGTGATTGGCAACGATGCCAGGAGCTACAGTTACCTCGTAAAGTGTGGCGAGGATCTCAGGCAGGACCAAAGGCTACAACAAATTTTCAAGACGACCAATAAGACGCTCGATGCTGACGTTAACTGTAGGCAAAGGTATCTGTCGATCAACACTTACCACGTACTGCCCCTGTCGTCGAATTTGGGCTTGATTCAGTGGGTCGACAACACGAAATCGCTCAAAGAGTACATTGAATTTTCAATGAAAGACAAGGACCTTCCGGGAGATCTTGCAAGCGAGTATCAGACTTGGATACAAAAAGCTGCAAAGTCGAATCAGATCAGCGTCTGCTACAGAGAAGCTCTAGTCAAGTACAGCACGAAGGAGGTCGTCGAGAAGATGACCAAACTAACTAGTCAAGTGGAGGACGATATTTTGAAAAAGACCTTTGCGACTCTCAGCCCGTCGTTGGAATGTTTCATGTCTCTGAGGCACAATTTCATAACTAGCTACGCCACCATGTCCGTGATACACTGGCTCACTGGAGTGGGAGATCGGCATCTGGAGAACCTTCTGATCGAGGTGAAAAGCGGCAAATGCTACGGCATTGATTTTGGACTGGCCTTTGGAACTGGTATTGATCAATCGGTTCCTGAACTGGTGCCATTTAGATTGGGGCAAATACTGGGGCTGTTGAAGCCGTTTGACGAGACCGCGCTATTGGGAATCACAATGACACACGTACTCAGTGCCTTGAGAAAGGAACATGGTCCGTTGTCCGCGTACTTGGACATTTTCATTCATGAGCCGTTGGACTGGACCCAGAGTGTTAACAAAAACCTCGAAGACCTCGATGAAAACCAACGTATGTATACCTTTACTCATCTGGATATGGCAAATAAGATTTTTACTGTATGACGTGAAATTTTACCGTATTTTTAGATTCAAAATGGATCCCGCATGATAAGATCGATGTTGTTAAAAAAAAATTAAGTGGTATGAATCCGGCTGCTGTGTTGTTGAAAGAATTAGCAGACGCTCATTGCCAATCGCTGGAAACGGATGTGCTTTACTCCAAGTACAAAACCATCGTAACCGGAAGCGACTACCTCAACTCCGCGAGATCGAAACTTTTTGATGGAAATCTTACGCCGGAAGAACAGGTTTGTTGTCATTCAATGGAGTTTTGATTTAAAAATGTTTTTTCGTTTACAACAAATTTTTGTGAAATTTTAGGTACAATGCCTTTTGGAGCAAGCAAAGGATTTCAACCTCTTGGGAAGAATGTGGGTTGGATGGACTCCGTTTTTGTGATTATATATTTTTATAATACTAGATTAAAGAAAACCTGTTCCAATACAAAATGATTGCTGGTCAAGCTTTAGACAGATTTTATATTTCAGATACTTCAAATTTTATATTCTATATTTTTTATATTTGTACTTTGTTTCGTAAAGTATTTGTAGGGTTGTGAATAAAATGTTTTCTTACATTTAAAAATCCCTCTTTATTTTCAACCTGCCATACCGATGACCGGTACCAGAGATAGTAGTTGTGAGAGAGTTTTGTGAGTCGTGAGACTGGAGAGTGAGAGAAGAGGAGAGAAGAGAGCTGTTGTTGAGCAGTTGAGGTCGGGTCGGGTGTTGTGATGTTCTTGTTCTCCGACTCTTCCCTCTCTTTAGCTAATTGTTCTTCTCTCTCTTTTTTTTTGTTACTTCCATCATAGACCACGAGATCTGTCGCGCGATAAATGTCAAAACGGTACGGTATATATTTCTTTCTTTTGCCCCAAACTTGTCCACTCCGATATGCGACAATAAAGCAAGAAAAGCCAAGACGATAATATGAAGCATGTCCAGAACGTCTGGCTGGCAAAAGAGGTTGTTAACTTTTATGGGAGGTAATAAAGTAATTGATGTTAAGTGTCTTTTAATTAGCTGCCTCCCATAAACAGTCGAGAGTGAATCATGCCAAGCACAAGGCTGAGTATCAGAAATAAAGTCGATGCTTATTGACCCGCAAGTAGAAAGTATATAGGTAGAAGTGCAGTGTGGATTTATTGGATTTCAAGTTGATTCGTGTGATTTGTTTTTAGTATGGTTTAAAAATGTTGAGATCCATTAATAATGTCAACAGTGATTCTCCGGAAGTTGTTATCGAACTAAACGAAGGTATAAATTGTTGAGTTGCGAATTTCTTGCATTCACTGGAGTGCTATAAAAGTTTCCTTTGTTCTGTTTCAGCGAATCCGTCCGGTAGTCAGTCACAAAATAAAGTCAATGTTAGCAATATTGATTTTGCCTTGGAACGCAAGACTGAAAGAAATGGTAGAAATATATTATCGACCACGGGAGAGAAAGGTAATTTATTTAAAAATTTTCCCAATTCGTTTTTTTTTAATCCTCCAAAAATAGATAGCTTTTTCTACAAACCGATTTACTTTATTACAGACTCAAGCAGCGAGATTTATGAAAACAGCGAGACACTTCATTTGCTGTATCCATCTGCAACCATCAGATTATCAAAGATGTCATCAGCAACTTTAGAAGAGCAAGCTGAGGCAATAGTAAATAAAATTGAGCGCAAGAAAAAGCTGATAAAAACTGATCCAGTATCGGAACTGTTGAGACTAGAAATGATACGGAACATGCCTCAAAATTTAACTCTCAAGAGATCTGTCAAAGCTAGACTATCCTTGTCTGTCGATCAAAATTCAAAGAAAAGACCTATTGGATACTGGAAAAAATTAAAGTACAGAACGTCTATGAGTATTTCACAGGTAATTTCACTAGCTTACAAAGATTCAAACGTTATTTCTCATTGAAATGTGACCATAACTTGTTGAAAATTACATTTTTAGATAAAATCGGCAGTATACCACGTAGGTTCGTCTCTAGGGCTTTGGCAGCAAGCAATAAAAGTTATAGAAGGACATTTTGGAAGTGGAATTGCAAGTTACTTCAAACTTTTAAGATGGTTGTTTATTATAAATGCAATCGGTTGCGTTTTCAGTATTTCATTTATCACTCTGCCACAAGCATTATTACGCTTGCACCAAAATGAGAATTTTAGCACAAAGGATTTATTCTTAGGAAATGTAAGAATCCACAAGAGTCGCATTTTGTTTTGGTTTATTTTATTTTTGATTTATATTTTCAGGGCTTCTTTACAAACAGTATTTTTTATTACGGATTTTACACTAACAGCACTTTACTTATCGACCCTAAGACTGCTTACGACATGCCAACAGCTTACTTTTCGACGTTTTTATTTTGTTACATTTTTACCTTTATTTTATTATGTTTCAAGTGAGTTGCTAGCTTATTCCTTTATTCCTTGATTTGCAAATTTTCAGTCATTTGTGCTTAATTGTGCTATTGTCGCTTGTTGTTTTTTTTTTTTTTTTCTCTTTCATAGAGTGGCTCAATCATACCGCAAGTGTTTTATTGAGACGTCTAGCGGCGTATATAATCGCTACGCGAATAAAATATTTTGCAGCTGGGACTGGGGAATATCCTCGTCCAAAGCTGTGAGTCTTCGATCTGCTTCGATTTATCGTGAACTACAGGAGTTACTTTCGGAGACGAAGAATGTGTCGGCGCCGGTCTCTTGCTCCATGAAGTTTTGGACGCTGTTGATCCGAGTCGCGATGACGACTCTGATATTTACCGTTATGTGCGGGATCGTGGTTCTACTCTGGCTACTCTTGGCTGAATACAAGACCGATGGATCTAACGATTGGTCGGCATTGCGGGTGCCTCTGGCCATGACTATTATTATTAATTTGCTTCCTCCACTGCTCTCTTGGTCGGTAAGTGCAAAAACCCAGTCAAACGAACTTGTTTTATTTCTAGTGTATTTAGTCTAATGGGAAATCGTATGTTTTAGGTAAAATACGAAAAATATTCGCGAGACAGGATAGCCTTCTACATAACGATGCTACGTGCCTTTGCGATCGCCATCATAGCGGTGGCAACAACCCTAACTTTTGAGCTAACTCAAAGTCTGAGCAACGACTGCTGGCAGACGCGACTCGCCCAAGACGTCTACCGACTCATCGTCCTTGACCTCATTGCCTCTCTTCTCGTTACCTTCGTGTTCCAAGCCGCACGTTCAGCTCTGCGCGAATACTTGGGCCCTCCCAGGTTCGACATGGCTTCCAGCGCCCTCAGCCTCATCTACAACCAGAGCCTGTTTTGGCTCGTTCACTACTTCAGCCCACCCATGTCGATTCTAGTGATTGTCAAGCTGTTCCTAACTTTTTACGTGAAAAAATTCGAGCTGCTCCGGTTTTGCGAGCCACCGTCCAGGTACTGGCTAGCTGCTCAAACTCAGACGCTCTTTCTCGCGTTGGTCTTCCTCGGCATGCTGTGCGCTGTCCTGGTACTCGGCTTTGTCGTCATTTACGTGGATACGAGCGCCTGTGGACCATTCGCCGGGAGAAGCTACACCTGGGAAATCGTTGTCGAGAAGGTGCTGCGCGTGCGCCGGGACAGCGAGTTTTGGAATTTCCTTGGAAGCATCGCAAATCCAGCTACGGGCGTTGCCATCCTTGTAGCGATGTGGTACGTAATAACTAAACTAATTACTTTTTTTTTATTTAAACTTGAATAATTTACCAATATTAATAATAGCGTGGCCGTGTACTATCTGAGAGCAAAAGCGGAGGCTTCCAGGCAGATGGTCAACATTTTACGCGATATGCTTGTCTGGCAAGCCAGAGACAAAAAGTTCCTTCTCAAAACGTTCTCCTCGGCCAATAACGAGAGTAAGATTATCATCCCAAACGAATAAACGAACCCACGTTGCGTGTAAATGACTCTTGTGCTAAAATTGCGCAATTTGTTTTTAGATTCGCTGAGACACCGTCCTACCTTGAAAGCAACAGCAACAGATCCCGACAACATAACCGATTCGACGCGCGATCGTACCCACGCGAGCGAATAAGCCACGAGTTATTGAGTACACGAATTTAGCAAAAGTAAATAATCAAATGAATAAAAGACTGCAGCCGGAACTGTGCCAAATGCCAGCGAGATATATGAATTTTATATATATTTTATAAATTTGTACTGCTCACGTAATATATACATATACACACACGAAAACATTATATTATGTATTTCTCATGTAAATAAAAATGATTATTTATTCAGAATCAAAATAAAACCAGAGTAACAAGTCGCTTGCGTGTAACCAACCATCCTATATCCTCTGAAAAACCCGAATCGTAGCCATGACAACAGCGCGTCCTTTACTCGCGTAACCTTCAGTTAACCCGTAACAATCGACTTGCGTGAGGGTGGAAAAAAAAAAAAAAAAAAAATGGAGGCACCGGGTGCAAAGTGCTCGATCAAGTGGTGCCCGATAGGTCCGGATGGCCGGCTGGAGTACCCGCCCCTGGAACTGATGAGGGAGTACGAGGAGCGCCGAAAGCGCGACGAGATCGAGCGCGCCAGGATCATGGTCGAGCTACCCGACAACGTTATCGGCCTCAAACAGCTACGACGAAAGTACGACCAGGGAGACGTACCGAGGAAAAAGCGGCGCAAGAAAAAACCATCAATCGTCGTCGAGCCGGAACAAGTAACTTTTATTTTTTAAAAGCACGTTGTAGGGTCCGTAAAAAAAACGTCCTTGCGCTGCACTAGAACGTGGGATTCAGGGAGGCAGACATGCCGAGAACCGTGGAGGATCAGCTCGACGAGATGCGACAGTTGTACAGGGAGGAAGCGAAAGATCGAAACCGGAAGGCAGCATACGTCCATTGCCCGACGGCCGTGGTGCTGACGAGGAGCCACGTCTCGGCCATCGGACCTTACGATCGGGCCAACCTTCGCGAGGCCGAGAAATGGATCCTCGGCAAGCTCCGCAGGCGCAGCGAGTAAATATTCCACCCGCCAAATCGCTATGAAGGATAGATGGTGGGGATCAACTAGAACCGATTTTTTCCCCCCAGCTTCCGCAAGAGAACGAGGCTCCTGGAGGGCGAAGTGATCAAGGAGTACGTGCTCGTCAGTCTGATTGACCGCTTGCTGAGCGATCCCCCGCGGAGACGGCAGTTACCGATCCCCCGGCCGATTTTCGTGATCCGAGCTCCCGTGCCGTGGCACCAGGCGAAAATCACAGCATCGCACTTTATGGAGCACAACTTGTTCATCGACAACGCGATCCACCGCTGCATCCGGCAGATCTGGGACGACAGGTGAGTCGATCGGTAAAAAAAAAAAAAAAAAAAAAAAGAAGCTCAATCATCGAGGCAGCTCTCTGGTACACAAATATGTAGGTACTGCGCGCTGAAAATCATCGACGAGGGCGAGATCGGCAACTTACCGGTCCCGGCGCTCGAGATCGCCGACCGGGTGCAACGCCTGTGCGCCGCGGCCAGGGAGAGGCTGATCGGCGAGTGGCTGGCAGAGGTCGCCGAGCTGTTTCTCGAGCGCAAGGACGCCTGGAGCGGGTTGTTCGAAAAAAGCTCCGACGCCTCGACTCTGCTGGTCGAGAAGTATTTTGCCAGCGTCAACAGCCTACTGTCGAGGCACCTGAGGCTCATCGTCGTACGGACCGTCGAGCACCTGAGGGACTTTTTCGCGCTATACGCCGACGGCAACTTCTTCACCGGAGACTACCAAGACCTGACTTTTCTCCGGTAAACTTGTGACAGCGTATACACTATGATCCGTAAAAAAAAAAAAAATAATGACACGAGTCTCGGCAAAAGCAGCACGCCCTTCATGTCGCTCATTGTCGAGCCGGTCGTCGTCAACAAGGAGCTCCAGTGCAAGCCGTCGGTCAACGAGATGCGCACAGTCATGTCCAAATGCTTCAACGCGATCATCCAGGTGGCCTCGGGAATCCCGGGCATACAGAACCTCCTGTTTCCCGAGATCCAAGACAAGACGTTCCTCTTCCCCGTCAGCCGGAAAATGGGAGACGTGCGTTAATCCCCTCCAATGCATATATTTGTAATTGCGTGCGGCAGGTGCAAGTTGGATTTTCCAGATCCGCGCGCTGGTCGACGGAGCCCTCGAGGCGATAGCGGCCAACGCGAGCGGCCCCAAGATCTACCTGAGGCAGTACGAGCCGTACTTTTACCTGCTGGACGGCACCGCCGAGGCTGAACTGAGGGAGTTTATGGGCAGCGAGCCGCCGCCCTTCCTGCGCGACTACGGGGCCAAGATCCAGGGGTACGACGAGCTCAGGCGGGAGATTTTTCTCTTTCGCGACAGAGTAAGGGACTTTCAGCGAGTCCAAAGAGACAAAGAAGGAAGAAAAAACAAAAACAAAAAAATTGCAGATCCCGTTGAACCTGGTCGAGGTCGACTGCAGCCGGTTGAACGAGCGTTTGAGGGAGGTCCTGCTCGGTTTGCGGGGCACCGTGCTCGATCACTTCTCCGGCCAGATTCGGACCATCCACCGGGAGGTTTGCGCCAGCTTCGACGAGATCGCCGAGCGCATTTCTGGTAACGAATCACTGTAGAGCAGAGCGTGTAAAAACCACTGTTGAAAAACAAAGCTATGCCCGAGGCGACTAGGGACGTGGTGGAGCTGTACAACTACATGGTGGAGAGCCGGGACTCGAGCATGTACAGTCTGCGCTCGCAGCTGGCGGAGAGCTCGTCGTACCTGGTGTTTCTGGCCGAGTGTAGGTCGGTGCTGGCCGACGAGGACATTCAGCTGAACTCGCGCGCCCTCACCTGGCCCCGGGACATGGAGACGGTCATGGAGTTGGCCGGCGTTAGGCTCGGCATGAGGAAGGAGTTTGTCGAAGGCGTCCTCAAGGAGCGCCGCAAGGCCTTTGACGCCAAGATTGTCGAGGTGCGCGCCAAGATCGAGGTGTTCAAGAGGAAGGACCCACCCGTTGTCACCATGGACGAGATGGTCAACTCGGCCCACGAGATCGAACTCATTTCTCGAGGTGTTTGGTGGAGCCGATACTTGTATACGAGGGATTGGGTTATACCGATGTATTGTTTTATTTCCGACAACGCGATGATTTATGAATACTCGGTGCAGAGATGAAGGAGATCGAAGTCGAGGCCGAGGAGATAAACGTCGAGGAGTCGCTGCTCGACCTCGAGGTCAGCCCGTACCTGAGCCTCCCGACGATGTCGTCGACCGTGACCACGTTCGACCAGCTCTGGCACACGGTCCTCGAGTTCCACAGGAGCTACGAGCGCTGGATGTACGGGCCCTTCCGTGACCTGGACGCCGACGAGGTTCGCGAGCAGACCGAGGCCATTTGGAAGGTCCTCTACAAGCTGTCGCGCACCCTCATGGAGATACCGGCGGCAAGGCGCATAGCCGAGATGACGAGGGGCAAGGTCGACAAGTTCAAGCAGTTCCTTGGGCTCCTGCAGAGCATCTGTAATCCCGGCCTGAAGCCGAGGCACTGGCTCAAGATCAGCGAGATGGCCGGGGTCACCATTAGCCCCCAGCCGAACAGTAGCCTCTCCCAGATGATAGAGCACGGCCTTCTCGTGTACGCGCCCAAACTCGAGGAAATATCCTCGGGGGCCTCGAAGGAGCACACCTTGGAGAGCAACTTGCGTCACATGCAGCAGGATTGGCTCGAGGTGAGCTTCGAGCTGAGCCCCTACCGGGACACCGGGGTCAGCATACTCGCGGCCGTGGACGACACCCAGGTGCTCTTGGACGACCACATACTCAAGGCCCAGACTATGAGGGGATCGCCCTTCGTCAAGCCCTTCGAGGCGGAGATGCAAGCCTGGGAGGAAAAGCTCATCACCATGCAAGACATCATTGACCAGTGGTTGGTGTGCCAGGCCACTTGGATGTACCTGGAGCCGATCTTCAGCAGCGAGGACATCATGAGACAGATGCCCACCGAGGCCAAGAACTTTCGTATTGTCGACCAAACGTGGAGGGCCATCATGGAGTACGTGACGAAGGACATGAGGGTGCTCAGAGCCACCGACATGCCGGAGATGCTCGGCAAGTTCAGGGAGTGCAACGCCCTGCTCGAGGACATACAAAAGGGCCTCAACGACTACCTCGAGAAGAAACGACTCTTCTTCCCTAGGTTCGCTACCTTTCGCTCTGTTATTCTCTTTGTAAAAAATGTACAATTTTTCAGATTTTTCTTCCTGTCGAACGACGAGCTCCTGGAAATCCTCTCCGAGACGAAGGACGCCCAGCGGGTCCAGCCGCACTTGAAAAAGTGCTTCGAGGGCATACAGAGCCTGCGCTTCGCCAAAGAGGACGAGATAGTGGGTATGCTGTCGGAGGAGGAGGAGTACGTGCCGTTTAGCGGGAAGATAAACCCGGGCGACGCCAAGGGCCTGGTCGAGAAGTGGCTCGCGCAAATCGAGGATCTGATGAAGGCCTCGCTGCGAGACATAGCCCAGGACAGCGTGATCGCGTACTTTACGGCCAAGCGCGTCGAATGGGTGGTCCAGTGGCCGGGCCAGATAGTCCTGTGCGCCAGTCAGATCCACTGGACGAGCGAGGTGTGCGAGTCATTTGAGGACCGATCGACCGAGGCCTACCTGGCCAAGTGCTCGGCGCAGATCGACGAGACCGTGGCACTGGTGCGCGGAAAACTGGACCCCGGCGCCAGGATCACCCTGAACGCTCTCATCGTCATTGACGTGCACGCTCGCGACGTCCTGAAACTGCTCGTCGAGAGGCGCGTCAGTGACGTTACCGATTTCAACTGGATAGCCCAGCTGAGGTGCGCCTTTTCTTTTCACGATTCGGATATTTGTCGCTTCATCCCTCTTTTTTACAAATCCAACGTTTCATTGACAAATTATTTGGTATTGTAGGTACTACTGGCTGGAGGGCAACGTGACGGTGTCGATGATAACGACGGACGTGGAGTACGGGTTCGAGTACCTGGGCAACAGTCCCCGACTGGTGATAACACCGCTGACGGATCGTTGCTACCGCACCCTCATGGGGGCGCTGAAACTAAACTTGGGCGGCGCGCCGGAGGGGCCGGCCGGCACCGGGAAAACCGAGACGTCCAAGGACCTCGCCAAGGCCCTGGCCAAGCAGTGCGTCGTTTTCAACTGCTCCGAAGGTCTCGATTACGCGGCCATGAGCAAATTCTTCAAGGGCCTCGCCCAATCCGGTGCCTGGGCCTGCTTCGACGAGTTCAACCGCATCGAGCTCGAGGTTTTGTCCGTCATCGCCCAGCAGATACTCTCCATTCAGGCAATCGCGACATATACATTATTTGTGATTATAAGCCTCCTTTGGGCTCTTGGAATGAAAATTAAAAATTTGACCTGCAGTTTTCTATAGCCCAACGCCTGGAGCGCTTCATGTTCGAGGGAACGGAGATTAAGCTCAACCCCACGTGCAACGTCATCATTACGATGAACCCTGGCTACGCGGGCAGGCAGGAGCTCCCGGACAACCTGAAGGTGCTCTTCAGGACTGTCGCAATGATGGTGCCCTCGTATCGACAGATAGGTAGGTATTTTAACACTCTCAAAACATCCGACCAGTAAAATATCTAAATTCGTAACGGAGTTCTTTAATCCTTGCTTCACGTGGCTTCTTTGCCTATAGAATAATGACATTGCCAGATAGGGAAGTATTTTAACACAACATCACTCTTAGAACATCCGACTTGGTGTCTTACGGTAAATATTTGAAATAAAGGGCTCCATCGTCCCACAGTGGTGGTATTGCAACCTATAGAGAAATAAAAGCCTTCAAATATTTTGATCGTTCATAGTTTAGTAACGTATTGATTTATAAATTATTTATTTATTTTTTTTTTTTTTTTGGTAGGTAACAATTGACATGTAAGATAAGATGAGCCAAGTCAATGTGTGTATAAATATGTGTAGGTAAATTTTTTGTAATAAAAGCGCGTTTGAATATTTTTATTATCTGTTAATGATTAAATTATTATGACATAAACCAACTTTCTTATACTTGTATAAGAGTACCATGTATTATGCACTCCCTTTAATAATACATAATATACCCACGATAGGAGAAATAACGCTCTACTCGTACGGATTCGTCGACGCCGAAGCACTCGCCGACAAGATCGTGCACACGTACAAGCTGTGCTCCGAGCAGTTGAGGTGAACGCGTCAACTTGATTTTATGATAACGTTTGTAGCCAAATACAAAAATGACAATGTAATATCGGTACAGTTCGCAGAGCCACTACGATTACGGCATGCGGGCGGTTAAGACGGTCCTGGTGGCCGCGGGCAACTTGAAGCTCAAGTACAACAACGAAAACGAATCGATACTCGTACTGCGCGCCATCATCGACGTCAATGTCCCGAAATTCTTGTCCCAGGACCTACCCCTGTTCGAGGGTATTTACAGCGACCTATTTCCGGGGGTCAAATTGCCCAGCCCCGACAGAGACGAGCTGCTGCACTGGATAAAGGTCCACCTGGAGAAGAGAAATTTGCAAGCCACGCCCTGGTACTTGGACAAAATCATACAGATCTACGAGATGATACTCGTGAGGCACGGCTTGATGATCGTCGGGGACACTCTGTCTGGCAAGACCCAGGCCTACCAGGCTCTGGCCGACGCCCTTACCGATCTGTCTGCCGTCCGCGGAGCCTCGATCAAGGAGATGCGCGTGGCTTACAGGTGACCGAGTCCCCCGTCCTACTCCCCTTGGGTCCGGAAAATTGATACGCATCTCCCGCCCCCTCGTTTTCAGGGTGATAAACCCAAAGGCCATAACCCTGGGCCGGATGTACGGCAACTTCGATCCCGTGTCCCACGAGTGGAGCGACGGCGTTTTGGCGACGACGTTTCGCGAGTTTGCCCAGTCGACCTCCCGGGAGCGCAAGTGGATAATCTTCGACGGGCCGGTGGACGCCATATGGATCGAGAACATGAACACAGTGCTCGACGACAACAAAAAGCTCTGCCTCATGTCCGGCGAGATCATCCAAATGTCCCAGCGCATGAACATGATGTTCGAGCCCGCCGATCTCGAGCACGCCTCCCCCGCCACCGTCAGCCGATGCGGTATGATCTACATGGAGCCGGCCCAGTTGGGTTGGCCGGCCTTTTTCGAGTCGTACCGGGCCAAGATAGCGGACAGACTCTTGCCAGATCAGCTCGAGGTTTTCGGGGACATTATCGAGTGGCTCGTCCAGCCCATGTTCGACTTTGTGAAACACCGCTGCCGAACCTTTGTCGAAATCGGCGAGCTCCACATGTTTGTGGTCCGTGACACATGTGTACCTTTATTCCGTTGCTGGATATTTATAGTATTTTTGGTCGAGCTGTCGTTGCGTTTATCCACAGACCTTCACGAGGCTGATGGACACGCTGCTCGAGCAGGAGTCGAAAGTGAGCACGCAGTGGCTCCAGTGCACCCTTCTGTTCAGCATAGTCTGGGGTATCTGTTCGACCTTGTTGAGCGACAGCCGGGCGCTGATGGACGAGTTCTTGCGGAAGATACTGGTAGGCGACGACGAGGATCACCCGAAGCCGAAATCGTTCAAACTGACGAAGCAGCAGCTGTTCCCCGACCGCAACACCATCTTCGACTGGGTCTACGACAAGCGGAACAACGGCACGTGGATCTCGTGGATGGACACGATGGCTCAGGTGACGATGAACCAAATGTGTACCGTCGATTATAATCAATCCATACGAAATCGTTATTGCTTTTAGACGCCACTTCCAGCGAACGCAAAGATGAGCGAGTTGATCGTGCAAACGAACGACATGTCGATTCAGCGTTACTTCTTGTCGCTGCTCCTCGATAATTCGGTGCCTTTGTTGTTCGTTGGCCCAACCGGTACCGGGAAATCGACCGTAGTTCTCAACTACATGCTGAGCCTCAACAAGGACAAATACTTGCAGAACGTGCTGAACTTTAGCGCGAGAACGAGCGCGGCCCAGACCCAGGAGATCGTCATGTCGAAGCTCGACAGGCGGAGGAAGGGCGTTTACGGGCCCACCATGGGCAAAAAGTGAGAAAATATATATCCAGCCAATAATCGAACAAGCGGTCATAATCTTCGAACAACAGGTGCGTCATGTTCGTGGACGATCTGAGCATGCCGCAAACGGAGACTTACGGGGCTCAGCCGCCGATCGAGCTGCTGCGCCAGTGGATCGATCACGGGCACTGGTACGACTTGAAGGACACGAGTATGCTGCAGCTGGTGGACATTCGGTTCGTCGCGGCCATGCTACCACCCGGGGGTGCTTCGAACAAACTGACGCCCCGGCTGACGCGACACATGGTCGTGATCGGTATCGATTCCTTCGACGACTCCACCATGACGAGGATATTTGGCACCATACTCGAGTGGCACTTTGCTCGGGGTTTCGATGCCAGCGTCACCAGACTGGGTCGGTATGACCGCGGCCCACGATTTCTCGACTCTACTCCAAACTCGTTGCGATAATTGTTTCCACAGGCAAGATGATCTTGGCAGCGACAACGGAGGTTTATCGCAAGGCGATCGACACGTTCCTGCCGATCCCCAGCAAAAGCCACTACTGCTTCAATTTGCGCGACTACACGCGCGTCATGAGCGGCGTACTATTGGTGCCCGCCTCGAGAATGAAAGACCCGGACAAGCTCGTTCGTCTGTGGATCCACGAAATCTACCGGGTCTTCCACGATCGGCTCGTCGACGAGGACGATCGCGAGCAACTGTTCTCGATGGTCAAAAACGCGACTTACGAGCACCTCCGTCAGCCCCTCGACAAAGTGCTGAACCACCTGCTCAGCCAGGACAGCCCTGCGATCGGCAGGGCTCACATGGGTGACCTACTGTTTGGCAATTTTATGGAGCCCGACGCCGATCCCAAGATCTACGACGAGATCTTGGACTTTGAGGATTTGAAGGTAAGATACGTCATGCATATCCTTCAAGTGTTTTCATGATGATGGTAAATATTGGCAGGAAAAAATGGAGTTCTATCTGTCCGAGTACAACAGCCTGTCAAAGACCCCGATGTCCCTGGTGCTGTTCCGATACGCGATAGAGCACGTGTCGCGCGTCTCCCGTGTCCTCCAGCAGGACAACGGGCACGCGTTGCTGGTCGGGGTCGGAGGGTCGGGTCGGAGCTCCTGCGCTAAATTGGCGGCGAGCATGTGCGACTACGCGCTCTATACCATCGAGATGACGAGGAGCTACGGGCTGAGCGAGTGGCGGGACGACTTGAAGAATCTGCTGCGTCGGGCGGGTTGCGACGGGAAGCCGACCGTGTTTCTCCTCAGCGACAGTCAAATAAAGGACGAGTCGTTCTTGGAGGACCTGAGCATGCTGCTCAACACGGGGGACGTACCGAACTTGTACGGCTCGGAGGACAAGGCCGAGATACTCGATAAGATGGCCGAGGTCGCCAGGGAGATTCAGATCAAGTCCCAGACGCCAGGTGATTTTTTTTTTTTTTTTTTTTTTCTTTTTATTCTTAGTCACTTTGCTAGAAATCCGTCCGAGGATATAACGTTTAGGTGAAATTGCTATTTTTGTAACGTTCATTAAGATAGGCTGCTAATCGATGTTTGATAAGCAACCAGCTAGTAAATACTTGAAAAATCGTAATTACTTTATTTTTTTCTCAAAATAGCTGCGCAGTTATCTAATCTGAAAATGCGAGACTGGAATGAAAATTTAGAATTTCGTCTTGTGTAAATCCAAGAAATAGTAATTTTTACTATTTTGTGGTTTTGCGATGTGTAATACTTGGAATACTGGGATCTTTCAAATCATCCATCTCTAGAAGTTTAATAACGGTTTTTGCACTTTTCTAAAGTAAATTACAGTCGCGACAGATACGGTACATTCAGAATAATTAGATAAAAGTAGAAAATTATCAAAGAACATTACGAAATCCATCATGCACAAGAGTAATATTCGGTATGCTCGAATTTTGTTGTAATGTTAGTTATAGAAAAATTACAATCAATATATTCATTAGTTTTTTTAAATTTTTTAATCAATTTCTTACAATTAAAACGTAAAAATTTCAACTTATGTCAAAATATTAACTGAAGCGTTTAGGACAAAGACTTTTAGATTATATTCATTTGATTATTGTTGATTAGTTATAAATAAAGGTGAGAAATAACAAAACTAGGAATAACGATTAAAAAAGTTCAGATTTATCATTGATCTATTATATATGCTATTAGTAAATTTTTTTAACCGTTACTATCAGTTATTTTTTTTTTTCTTTATGAAATCTAAATTGAAAAATATGATTCGGTTTCGTCATTAAAAACGAGATTAAAAGTAACGACCATAAACAATGAACTAATTAGTCATAAATTATTATCAGTTATACTCGAAAATTTCATATCAATTAAAGTGTAAAAAACAATAGACGATACAAACTACAAGTTTAAATTGGTTTGAAATAATACAAAAGTTATGCAGTTTTAATTATTTTTTTCTTTTTACTTTCTGAAACCACATTCAATAAGTTAATGTTAATTTTTACCATTTCTCGATTGAAAAGAAAAAAAAAAAAAGAAAAGAATGATTTTCGTAAACGAGAATATCGCAAAACTCCCACAGGTCGGGGAACCGAGACAAGTCCCATGGCCCTGTACGGCATATTCTCGGAGCGCGTTCGCAAGAACGTCCACGCGGTGGTGTGCATGTCGCCGATCGGCGAGGCCTTCCGCGTCCGGCTGCGCATGTTCCCGTCCCTGATAAACTGCTGCACCATAGACTGGTACACCTCGTGGCCCGAGGAGGCCCTAGAGCGCGTGGCCGAGCGCTTCCTCGCCTCCCTGGCCATCGACAACGAGACCAAGACCAAGTGCGTCGCCCTGTGCCAGCACTTACACACGAGCGTCAGCCGAGCCAGCGAAGACTACTTCCGCAGCCAACACCGAAGGAACTACGTCACCCCGACCAGTTACCTCGAGCTCATAAAGTGCCTGCGCAAGTTCCACGGCCAGAAGGTCGACGGCATCCGGAAACAACAGACCCGCTACGAGGTCGGCCTCGAGAAGCTCGACTTTGCCGCCGGCCAGGTGTTCATCATGCAAGAGGAGCTCCAGGCCCTCCAGCCGAAGCTCGTCAAGCAGTCGCAGCTCAGCGACAAGCTCATGATCAAGATCGAGCAGGACACCATAAACGTCGAGGCCAAAAAGGAGGTGGTGGCCGCCGACGAGGCCCTGGCCAACGAAGCCGCGGCCGCGGCCCAGGCCATCAAGGACGACTGCGAAAGCGACCTCGCCGAGGCCACCCCAGCCCTGGAGGCTGCCCTGGCCGCCCTGGACACGCTTAAACCGGCCGACGTGACCATCGTCAAGTCGATGAAGAACCCACCTCCCGGGGTGCGGCTCGTCCTCGAGGCCGTCTGTGTCCTCAAGGGCGTCAAACCCGACCGGGTCCCCGACCCCAACACCGGTGCCATGGTGGAGGACTACTGGCCGCCCTCGGTGCGCATGCTCGGGGACATAAAGTTCCTGGAGAACCTGAAGGAGTTCGACAAGGACAGCATACCGGCCGGCAACATGCGGCGCATCAGGGACAAGTTCATAAAGGACCGGGGCTTCCAGCCGGAGGTCGTGAAGAAGGTGTCGACCGCCTGCGAGGGCCTGTGCAAGTGGGTCCGGGCCATGGAGGTGTACGACCGGGTGATCAAGGTCGTGGCACCGAAGAAGGCGATGCTAGCCGAGGCGGAGGCCGAACTGGCGGCCCAGATGGAGACCCTCAACTCTAAGAGGGCCCTGCTCCAGGAGGTCTCGGATAAGCTGCAGCAGCTGAACGACGAGTTCGCCGAGTGCATGCGCGAGAAGAAGAAGCTCGAGGACCAGATCGAGCTGTGCGTGCAAAAGCTGGAGCGGGCGGAGAAGCTGCTGGGCGGCCTGGGCGGGGAGAAGACGCGCTGGGGCGAGACGGCGGTGGCGCTCGGGGAGAGCTTGGGGAACGTCATCGGGGATATACTGCTGGCCTCGGGTGTGGTGGCCTACCTGGGAGCCTTCACCGTCCTCTACCGGGACTCGCTGGTGCGGGATTGGCACGAGGCGTGCCAGACGGCTGGGGTCCCCTGCAGCCCGCCGCCCTTTGCTCTCGCCGATGTGCTGGGCGACCCCGTCCTGAGTGCGTTTGTTTTCTCAAAGAGTGTATTTATACTGTTGAAATTCCTTGAAAATTTTTGTACCTTTGGGGTGGAGGTTTTTCTCCGATTTGAGTCTTACGTGTTGAACAATCATTATTTTTTAACGTTCAAGACGTAAACGTTGATCATGTTTCGTTGAAAAATCCGATGAAAAGGATAAAAATCTCCGTGCCCCAAGAAATCATGGAATCGCTCGTACGGTTGCAAAAGTGAAAATGATAGAAAATTCTGTTCCAAAGTTCGATCGTGGATGATCCATGGACTGCCGGCCGACAAGTTCTCTGTGGAGAACGGGATAATCGTGACGGCCGCCGATCGTTGGCCTCTGATGATAGACCCGCAGGTGCAGGCCAACAAGTGGATCAAGAGTCTGGAGCGGGATAACGGCTTGTCGGTGATAAAACTCTCGGACCCCAACTACACCCGGGTCATCGAAACTTCGGTGCAGCTCGGGCTGCCCGTCCTGCTCGAGAACATCATGGAGGAAGTGGACGCGATCCTCGAGCCGATCCTCTTGAAAAACCTGTTCATCCAGCGAGGCGTGCTCTGCATCAAGTTCGCGGAGAACGTGCTCGAGTACAACCAGGACTTTCGATTCTACATGACGACCCGGCTGCGCAACCCCCACTACCTGCCCGAGCTCGCGGTCAAGGTCAGCCTGTTGAACTTTACGATAACGCCCCAGGGGCTGCAGGACCAACTGCTCGGTATCGTCGTGGCCAAGGAGCTGCCCGCCCTCGAGGAGAAGAAGAACCAGCTGATTGTCGAGAGCGCCAACAACAAGCGCATCCTCAAGGAAGTCGAGGACAAGATCCTCGAGGTCCTCTCGAGCTCCGAGGGCAACATCCTCGAGGACGAGACGGCCATCAAGATCCTGTCGTCATCGAAGATCCTCTCCGAGGACATTCGCGCCAAGCAAGAAGTGGCCGTAGAAACGTCCATGGACATTGACCGTGCCCGCGACGGCTACAAGCCCGTCTCCCAACACGCCTCGACCCTCTTCTTCTGCATCTCCGAGCTGGCCAACATAGATCCCATGTACCAGTACTCCCTGCCCTGGTTCGTCCGGCTCTTCACCCTCGTCATCGAGGACAAGAAGCAAGCCAAGCGAACCGATCGAGCCAACTTTGACCTCCAGCTGCGCATCGACACCCTCAACGCCATGTTCACGGCCACCATGTACAGAAACGTCTGCCGCTCGCTCTTCGAGAAGCACAAGCTCATATTCTCTCTGATCCTGTGCGTGGGTATTTTGAGAGGTACGTACGTGTTGTGTGCTACTCCTAGAAGGTCTCTGATGGCGTTGAAAAAAATAAAACCTCAGGAAAGGACGATCTCGAGGAGGAGCAGTGGATATTCTTGCTGACCGGTGGAGTGGCCCTCGACAACCCGTACCCCAATCCAGATCCATCCTGGCTGTCGGACAAAGCTTGGTCGGAGGTCGCGCGGTCTAGTTCCCTCAAGGGCCTCGAACCTCTTCGGTCGTCTTTCGAGGACAACATCCGTGCCTGGAAGGACTACTACGACCTGACGAACCCCCACGAGAGTCCCCTGCCGGAACCTTTCGAGGGTGAGTCGCGGGCTAGCTTGAAAAGACTCGTCGTGCTCCGGTGCGTTAGGCCCGATAAGCTCGTCCCGGCCATTCGCAACTTTATCATCGAAAAGATGGGCCAGACTTTCGTCGAACCGCCGCCCTTTGAGCTCCAGGACTCGTACGACGACTCCGACAACGTGACGCCGCTGATTTTCATCCTGTCCCCGGGTTAGCCGTCAACACTATTATTCACAATATCTCAGGGGGGTAGAGAATGTGCACGAAAAAAATAAACGCGCTGTTCAAGGTTCCGACCCGATGAGCAGTTTGTTCAAGTTCGCGGACGACATCGGCATGTCGGCCAAGAACCTCAAGTCCATATCGCTGGGCCAGGGTCAGGGTCCCATAGCCGCGGAAGCCATAAACCGCGCCCTGGAGACCGGCGAGTGGCTCGTCTTGCAAAACTGCCACCTGGCCGAATCTTGGATGCGAGAGCTCGATCGCATCTGCGACGAGGTCATCGTCCCCGCCAGCACCCACCCCAAGTTTCGGCTTTGGCTCACGAGCTATCCGTCCAAGGCCTTTCCGGTGTCGATCCTGCAAAATGCCGTCAAGATGACCAACGAGCCGCCCGAGGGTCTCAGGAACAACCTCTTGCGCAGCTACGCCAGCGATCCCATTTCCGATCCTGCTTTCTTCAACGTTAGTTTGAATACAATATATACGTACATGGTCGATGATCCCCTCGTTTTGAACAATTGTTTCTCAAAAAATCCAGGGCTGCCACAAGCTAACTGAGTGGCGGAGTCTCTTGTTTTCCCTCTGTCTCTTCCACGGGGTGGTGCAGGAGCGCAGGAACTTCGGAGCCCTCGGCTGGAACATCAGCTACGAGTTCAACGAGTCGGATCTGCGGATAAGCCTCATGCAGCTGCAGATGTTCCTCAACGAGTACACCGAGGTGCCGTTCGAGGCGCTCCTGTACCTCATCGGCGAGTGCAACTACGGTGGCCGGGTGACCGACGACAAGGACCGCAGGCTGTTGAACTCGCTCCTGAAACGATACATAAGCCCCGAGGTCGTCTCCCAGAAGGACTACGCGTTCTCACCCAGTGGGATATACCACCTGCCCGAAAACACGAGCTACCAGGGCTGTATGAGCTACATCAGGAGCCTACCCCTGAGCCAATTGCCCGAGGTCTTTGGGCTACATCAAAACGCGGACATTACCAAAGACAACAGAGAATCCATGCAACTGCTCTCCGGTGCCCTCCTGGCTCAATCTCAATTAGGTCGGGGGCTCTGTTTTTTCTTACATACTGTATCAATTGACAAAAAAAAGTTGCGCTTACCTGACAGTACTTACGAGGCGCGATAAAAACACAAATTCCAGGTGGGGAGTCCGAGGCGGAGATGAGCAGCGAGAGCATGGTGTTCGAGCTGGCGACCGAGATCCTGCAAAAGATGCCAAAGCAGTTCGATTGCGAGGCAATCGAGGACAAGTATCCCGTGTTGTACGAGAACAGCATGAACACAGTGCTCCGCCAGGAGGTTATACGCTTCAACCGGCTGACCGGGGTGATCAAGGGAAGCCTGGTGAACGTGAAGAAGGCGATAAAGGGCCAGATCGTCATGTCCTCGGACCTGGAAGAGATATTCAACAGCATGTGCGTGGGAAGGGTGCCGGAGGCTTGGGCCAAAAAGTCGTACCCCACCCTCAAGCCACTCAGCAGCTACATCAACGATCTGCTCCAGAGGATCGGCTTCCTCCAGGATTGGATCGACAACAACGTGCCGGCTGTCTTCTGGCTGTCGGGCTTTTTCTTCACCCAGTCCTTCTTGACCGGGGTTTTGCAGAACTACGCGAGGAAGCACACCATACCCATCGACCACTTGGATTTCGAGTTCGAGATCACTGGGTGAGAGCTTTTTTTTTTTTTTTTTTTGTAATTTATTTATCATTTTGGTTATACGAATGTATACTGTTTTTTGTATGCGCAACAGATACGACTCGTCAGAAGAGATAGACGCGGCACCGGTACACGGGGTGTACGTGAACGGCCTGTACGTACAGGGGGCCAGGTGGAACCGGGAGACAATGGAGTTGGACGAGTCGTTGCCGAAAATCATGTTCGACACGGTGCCGGTGATTTGGCTGAAGCCGGGGATAAAGGCGGACTTTGTTCCCGCGCCGGTGTACCATTCGCCGTTGTACAAGACTAGCGAGAGACGTGGTGTTTTGGCGACTACGGGACACTCCTCGAACTTCGTTATGTTCGTGTTGCTGCCGAGCTCGCTCGATCAGTCGCACTGGATCGACAGGGGCGTTGCCTGTCTCTGCCAGTTGGACGATTGAACGGTTTTTTTTAAATATATTTTTTGTGTTCGAACACATGTATACCGTTTGTGCGCACTCTCTTTTCTTTTTGTGGTAAATAATAATAATAATAATATTTTACAATAACAATTTTGGCTGTAGGAGAAAACTTTTGTGTGTCATTATATTTTTATCCTTTTCCAAGAGATATGATTGCCCCCCGTTGCAGGATTTTTTTATGCTGATGCCATTTTTTAGCCATTGAAGCAACAAACAACACGTATCATGTATTTTATCTTTTAGGTTTTAACTTGAAACGAGTAAAACATGTATCCACAATGTATGATTATATAACATAAAATACAAGCATTTTTAATCTAAAAAAAACTAGTCGAAAGAAGTATTTATTAANTAAATCTATAAGGATTAACGATATTTTTGCTTTGTCTCTATAGGTAGAGACGAACATCCACCGGTAACGCATTCATAGAAACTATCTATCGTTTGTAGCGAATCTCTATTCATAGGTACAGTGGAACCATACCACCAAGAAGACACCTACATATAAATCTCAGTAATGCGACGACATACTGTCAGCCAGGTCAGCCTAGAGCGTCCAGGCGCACACACACTTTTTTTTTTTTTTTTTTTTTGATGGCCTCAAGTTGTGATGTTTTTTAGCATAATTTATTGTATAGGATTCGAACTTTGAGCCCAAGAGAAGAAGAACCCACTCTCGCAGCTTCAAAAATGAACCACATGATGCAAATTAACATTGGACATTAGCGCTGCAGGTGCACAGTGTCTTTTGAAGAGTAACACGTAGAGCCAATAGGTGGCGAATTGAGGTAAATAAACAAAAGTTTGCTCCTTTGCTAGTGTGTTGTGTGCGTGTCCCGCACATACCGCACACGTGAGAGAATGAGCTAGGAGAGGCTAGCTCGAACACTGAGTAAACAAAGATAAGATGGTGCTAAAAAAAGAAAGCATGGAGTTTAATTATTTATAAGAAATCTTCGAGAACATTTTTAATTACCCTACAACTCAACTTTTCCCTTCGTATTTGCGACGCGCAGTTTTTTACTTTTTTTTCTCTTTTTTGTTGCAAAACACGTACTGTAAATAAACTTTTTAATTTTTTACATCAGTCGATTCGTTGTAATTTTTTCTATCATTTTATTAGTCCAACAAAATTTTGGATTGTCATGATAAAAAAAAAAATAAAAATCTTATATTTATGTCACTTGGTCATGTAAGAATTGATCCAAGTAAACATTCATCAACCTCATATTCTGCTGTATGTATATATAGGTATATATTTAGTTTTTTTCCTCTCTCCCCGAGCTTAGTGAAGCAGCTTTAGACTGTACTAGAGCGCGGAGTGCGCACGTGAGGCAGGCTCTTCCATTTCTTCGAGTACTTACCTACATCAACTCTCATAAATATAAAGTAACTGAGTAAGTGCCTTTTTTTGTTTTTTATTCCATTGCTATTTTTTACTTTGTAAATGGCCAAGCACTTTCATTACCTATCGCTTTTTCCTTCTTTCTCGTGTCGTGTGGTTATACCAAAGTATAAGTATACATATATGTATATATATACACCTACCCATATAAACACGATGTTGCAATCGTTTGTTATTGTTGTTGTTGTTGTTGTTGATGTTGTTATTGTTATATTTTCGTAGGAAAAGTCGGCAATGTTATCAACAAAGTGATAGAAAGTGATTGGAATGTGAATGGGAGAGAATAAAAAGTATGTGTTTTTTTGAGCAAGACTTAAGATTGAGGTGTTATATACTTTTCAGGTTGTGAATCTATTTCTTGGGAGAGAGGGAAATAAAACAAAACGGAGGCCGGCCATATTACGCGAACGCTGATTACATATATATTCGTACACACACATACGTCCATGTGTAGAAGGTGAAGGAGGAGGAGGAGTAAGAGAGAAACATATATTATAGAGAGATATTACACATATAGGTACACACGTATGTATACAAGAGGCGACGACGTGAAGTTCATGTGCTGCTGCTGCTGAGGAGTCTTTTCTCAGATAGAACGAGTAGTATACAGGTGCTCTCTCTTTTTCTCCTGTGAAACGTGAGAGAAGAGAGAGCCAAAAAAAACAAGAAAATAACACGTCGCCAAAGACTCGCTAGAAGAGTGAGTACCCCAAGGTATACAAAATGTCAGGCTACTCAAGGACACAAGAAAGCGATGCCTGGGCACTACTGGCACTCAAATCGGCACCAGCTAGTCCCTCCAAGATTCAATGGAATCCAGAGCCCAATGCACCAATTGCACGATTGGAGGGCCGAGAGTTTGAATACTTGGTTCGAAAAGGGAAGGTCACCATTGGCAGGAACAGCAGTAGAGGAGAAGTCGATGTCAACATGGGACACTCCAGCTTCATATCACGAAGGCATATGGAAATAGTCTATGACCATCCAAATTTTTTAATGACTTGCAATGGAAAAAACGGAGTCTTTGTGGATGGAGCATTTCAGCGCAAGGGAGTTAATGTAACATTGCCAAAGATGTAAGTTTTTCTTTTAAACTTTTTTCTGGAACAAATATCAACGAATTGCCAAAGATTTTTCTTTTTTCTTTTTTTTTTTTTTTTTTCTTTACATGAGATTTCACATCAACACTGATCCAAAATAATTCTTAATTCTAATGTAAACAAACAAAATCTTTCATAAGCCAAGCTTAGTATTTGCCATTTTGTTATTTGTCCATTGATTTTAATCAAGTAAATTCATCATGGGATACATATTTATGACATTGACGGCATTGATGTTTGTAATAATGATTCACGTGTACTAATCAATCATTTATGAACCAATCATTGGTAAACAAAAATATTTACTAACTTTTGAAATGTGTAAACACGTGTATCCAGAATCATTGTCTATGCATCAATTTGATGAGCTTTTGAAATGTATGAATATGAATTTACAGATTATTTATTACATAATCCATGAAAAGTGATCCCCTTTGCAAACTGAGGTATAAATAAGAAACAGTAGATACGAGAAAAATGAGTGGATGATGGAGTGATAGGTTAAAATAATAGATAGAAACCAAATACTTCAAGTACTAAAGTATATTAATAGAATGAATTTTCATTTGCAGGTGTGTATTTAGATTTCCAAGTACAAATATAAAGCTCTCGTTTCAATCTTTAATAGACGACCTGGATCAGAATAACATACAAAGGCTATTAGGCTCACCTCCCAAGCAACGCGCTCCTCTGCCTCCTCTTCGAATCAATATTCCAGATTCAAACTACAGCAGTCCTCTCCCATCACCTACAGGCACGATAAGTGCCGCTAATTCATGCCCAGCAAGTCCTCGGTCGGGTCGACGAAATATATCCGCGGATATCTCCCAGGATCTGCAATCAGCTGTGTATGCAGTTGCCAATAGTGATCCTCAAAACACACTAGTGGAGAGGCACGAGATAACGCAAAGCACTAGTCGTCAACTTAGTCCTGAACCTGGTTTTAGAGGTGGGATAGCTGGTGGAGGAGGAGGAGGATTGCACGGTAAATAATGTTGAATCTACAAGTATTGTATCAATAAACTAGAAAATAAAGAATTAAATGTGATTACTTGGACATTTCAGCTAATGGCAACGCGTCTGGAGCACATTATAGCCCACCAAAGGATGATTCAAAGCCACCGTACTCTTATGCTCAGTTGATCGTTCAAGCAATAGCTTCAGCACACGACAAGCAGCTAACGTTGTCTGGAATTTATTCCTACATAACGAAAAACTACCCGTACTACAGAACAGCGGACAAGGGCTGGCAGAACTCGATAAGGCATAATCTGTCTCTGAACAGATATTTCATCAAGGTGCCAAGAAGTCAAGAAGAACCCGGTAAAGGATCATTTTGGAGAATAGATCCGCAGTCTGAAGTCAAGCTGATAGAGCAAGCATTTCGACGGAGAAGGCAACGAGGTGTGCCGTGTTTCCGAGCTCCGTTTGGCTTATCGTCCAGGTTCGTTACCCTCTTTTATCTCAAACGAGTGCATGATCTTTAGGCGTTGACCACAATTTAATATTTTTTACAGGAGCGCCCCGGCCTCTCCTTCGCATGGGGGTATCAGTGGTATAATGACTCCCGAGTGTCTAAGTAGAGAAGGTTCGCCCGGTCCGGAATCGTATCCTGATAGCTCGGTACCTTCTCCTGCCGGTCAGCTGAGTAGTCAATCGGCTCCCGGTTCTCCTGGTCATCCTTACGCTCCACCGCCTCTGCATAAACCGCGTTTGATGCCACAAGTCACCGTTGCAACTAACGGCGTTAATAGTGATAATAGAGACGGTGAAAAAACTTTTTTTATTTTTCATTTTTCTTTCATCGATGCATTTTTATTCATGTTCTACTTTGCTTCAGATTCGTATCTAAGGAGACATTTGTATTTTACAGATAAGTATTTAATTCCTCAAAGTGTTACTGAAGAGCACGCTTTATCGCCAGCTGGCCAGTACAGTCCAGCTCCTGTTATTGTACAAACAAATTATAATTACAGGTGGGCATATTTATTGTTGATTGATGCTCTCGTCAAATTATGGACTAATTATTTCATGAACGTGAAAATTGTTTCAGTGGAAATTATATGAGTCCTGACGCAGGCGTTGGGTTGGGCAAGCGAGCAGTTCATGAGGAGCCAGATAGTTCACCAGGATCTCCAGCACCGTTGGCAATCGTTGAAAGTCCCGAGCCGATTGATCAGCAGCAGCACCAGCACCAGCAAGCATTGCAGTCTCTGCCGAAACGCCAACGCTTACACGAAGCCGACGAGCACTGAACACTGCGTATCAGTATAAGGAAAGCTCAACCATGCGCTCTCGCTGCACACCAGAACAACAAGTCTTTTGCTTTTCTTTCGTACGTAGTACAACTCGCATTCATAATTAAAATGAATAAAATAAATTTTCCTCCGTGCCAGTCTACCTGTCTGTTGTGATCTTCGTGCGTTATCAATCATTATTATAAACAATATTGGTCGCTACTTCAAAAGACAGGACAGGAGAATATGTTGACTATGGTGTCGCGAATCAATCGTATGTTGGCTCGATTCTAGTTCTTTATATTTTTTTGATTCGCGAAACGATCAATAATTTAATATCTGTTATTATTGTGTACGAAAGTGAATTGAAAAAAAAAAAATAATAAAATGAAGAAATTGGCGATGTTGAAGAGACAATGCGAAAGTGTTAGAGTTATAAACTTGATAATTGATATTTATTTTTTAGGAAAAACAAATTATAAATTGATTGGTTGTTTTTGTTGCTTGGAAAAAAAAAAAATATATTAAATAGTCTCTTTCTTATTTGCTAGGTGATGTATGTCGATTTTTAATTCACTTTTTAATTTTTAATATTGGATTGTGAATTATAGATCACCGTTTACTTCATCTCGTTAAGTTTTATGCAATCAAAGTACTGCTGCAATGAATATAGTATTTTTTTCTTTTTGAGCGGCTGGACAAAAAATAAATAATGAATATGCTAAACATAGTTAGAAAACAAATTGGTCTCACAAATCATAATTTTTTTATTTGCGCGACCCTGCTTCGAAACGTTTTTTGCTTTGAAACAGGTTTACATATATATATAGTTTAGGTACTAAAAAAATTATTAAACAATTCAGGAGATTTATTTGTTTATCATAGTTATTGTACAAAGAAAATATTGCAAGTGTAAGAATCTTATAATTGCAATGATAAAATCAGTAACTTTTTTTTTTTTTTTTTTTTCTTGAAATGTATCTAAAGAAAACCGAAAATCGCTGGCCAATGATTTCAAAAATGTGCCTGCCGCCCTACAAAAGCTAGAGAACAGGAGAGTTAAGGTATAGGATCGATATACTATATTTGTACCAAAAATAAAATGAATATCTTATGGATTATAAAATTTTTGTTAAAAAAAAAAAAGTTGCGTTTGTTGATTGCAAACGAGTTAATGATATATATATATATAGTAAAAAAAAAAAAATACTTATTGGTGTGTTTTAAGCTTGTAACGACGACGTTTTCTTGCAAGTTACGAATTAGTTTGTGACGCGAGCAAAAAAAAAGCGACGACGCAAAGTATCTGATGATAGTTGATGTATAAATTAGAAACGACAAGGCAAGGAAAGCGCGTAATTTTTACCAATAAGAAAGCATTCGAACGGTGCACTTGTAGAAATATGTATAGATAGAGATCGTATAGCAAATTTTTCAATCGTCTTATACCCGAAGCTTTCCTTTATTTCTAAAAAGTATCTTTTATAAAACTTGTTGCTTCGCAATATTTTTATCTTTTTTTTTTTTTTTTTTTTTTTTTTTTTTTTTTTTTTTTTTAGTATCATCTAGTGTAATCGGTTGCACGTGTTTTTGTTATTTTTTTTTTTTCTTTTGCTTTGTTGGAGAACGTTTGCCAAGTAATGGTGACGAAAGCCTGCGCTTATGCAAAAGATACAGTAAGAATGTAGCAAATGAAACTAAATGCGTGTATGTGCATACAATCATAGTCGTATAATTAAACGTACACATATTAATTATACGATCAATAAAAAGCAAAGTGATATTTAAATTGAGTTTGTTTGTTCGAGTTACGAAGCGTCAATCAGGATCATCCTCAATATATTATATTCCGAACCTGAGCTTATGATATATGATTTTTCAGCACCAAAGTTTTTACACGGCAGAAAAAACACCCTTTGATATTTCCAACGTGCCCATTGGGAAGAAAAAAAAAAAGATGACTGTACTATAAGCATATAGGCTGTAGGTGTAATCAATAAACATTACACTTAAAATATTGAAATAAATATATATATATAAATGAGTAAATAAATAATATCATGTTGAAAAATGCGAGACTCGTAGTCTCGACTCGCGTCCTTTTTCTAGAAATTAAATGATAACTTTTGGTGAAGTTCTTAAAGATTATAGTTCTAATTATACATGTTTCACTCATCTCTGCGGCTCCCCTGGGAGTGAGACCTCCCGACGGAACGACAAATAAATTTTTTTTTGTTGACCATCACAAGCTTTACTGATAGTCGTATTAGACCTGAAAAAAAAAAAATTATAATAGATACCTGTTAGTTTGCCTTATGACGTAGAGGGAAAAAATTTAAGAAACGACGATTTTATCTCAAGTCCGAAAGCTGTTGAAGTAAAACCAGAACCAAAAACGAGGTTCTCCACTACTTTTTCCACTTATAATCTACTAGTGTTCAACGTAATACTCTGTAATCCGTTCGTAATCTTTAAATTTATTTAAATTGTGCCATTTATAGCCATTGCGCGTGTGGTTTCAACCGTACTGTCTCGAAAAGTTGTCGACGAGATATTACTTCAAAATCATCCCTGTTAGTCGTTGATCTCTATCATCAACACTACAACTTGCGCGTCCGGCCACCTTAATCAGGGGACAATTTTTTTTTTTAATACGTTACGCTTGATGTGGATAAAATTTCGTTTACAGTAGTCTCGATACTTTTATCATAACTAATCAATCGATTAAAATATGTTTTATTTTTGTTCTATTTTGATCTGAAATTACCCGTGTATTTGACGAACCAAGGAAAAACAGCCGTTTTTAATGTTATTGAAATTTATACCTTGAAAACTCATTCTCGTTGTACATGGTAGTATTTTTTCAGACGTTTTTTCCATGTAACGAGCAATGGAAAGGTAATTGGCTACAAGTGTTGACTAGATAAATCAGATTTACCGTCTATTCCGCCATTAGTAGTGATGCAGCCCGCGAATTCCTCTCTTTTTCTTTTGTTCGGAAAACTCGTATCGATCGCTGTGCATTTCAAGTTAACTGAATCAGGTGGTGTTTTTCTCGGATAAACGCGTATAAATAACTGCGTTGCTGTATGTCTAAGACACGCGTGTTCCGCACCGAGAGAATAACAGGACAAAGTTGCAAGGCTTTTTTACCGTGTTTTCGTAAACGCTATTTACTTAATAAGTAAAATTTTTATCTATATTTAAATTTTCGTCGTGGATGGGCCCAAGAATTAAATTTCTCGTCGCAGGAACGGTTTTTAGCTCCGGTTACACGAATGTTGAATAAATCATGCAGTTGAGAATAATTTTCTTTTCCGTCTCGAGTCCTGTGGGAGCTGCACGCTTTTTATCTCGTTTTTTTCTTTTTCTATTTTTCTCCCCCGTAGTCGAGTTTTGGTATTTGCCGTCGTTTCAACTCGCGTTTAATCAAATTTACTCATTCGGTAAGCCCCTAAAACTGGACTGTTTCAAAAATCTCGATGTTTGTACATGTACCTACTTACTTCTTTGGAATTTCACCCCAAGTTCTCGACCGAACGAGAGTTGAACAACCTAAATTTAACCAAAGTAGATTTTATCTAAGAAGTCCATATTACATGTATATATACGTATACACGCATACACATAATTATATACATACGTATAGTAAGTCGAAATTATTTTTTTAGATTTTTAAATGCATTTAATGATAACGTTTCGTAACTTATAACGTTCTCGCGAGATGTGTCTAATCCAATCGTAAATTAACGTGTTGTTGGAATCAAAATTAAAAACTTGTGTATTATTAACACGTGTGTACATGTTACGTCTAATACCTACCTATTAGAAAATTGGCAAAAATAAAAAATAAAACCATTAAACACACAATGACTAGTGAATTTCCAAGTGTATTTTTCTTTTTGTTTGTTTTTTTAAAAGAAAGTGACATTTCAACTAACACCTCGGTTGTAAAGCTTAGTATTTAGAGTTTTTATGATATCCCGAACGACGCAATATTATCTTATTGAATGGATTAAAAAGAAAAAAAAAACAAAAAGAAGCAACAACAATAATATTGACAAAACGATGCTGAGAAAAGTTTAGCGAGGTATACAAAGTTGAGTAAGTACTTGTGCTTAACGCGTCAGTGTGTCGGAAGAGGATAAAATAATTACATATTAACAGCAAACGATCTCTATTTTTGTCGTAAGGAAGAAAGGAACTTTGCAGTAAATTCGACGATTCCTCGTTTTTCGACAGTAAACATCCAACATTATTTATTATTATTTTTTTTTTTTACAACGCCAATTCAACCGTTGTAAATAACCGAACGAAACGTCAATGCTCGAAAAATCACCACTGCGAGGAAAGTTCATTGTTTTCGAAAGTACAAAGAAACTTGACGTGTATAGTTTCGTTTTCCGCGTTTTCCTTTTTTCCACCGACAACACGAAAACGATATTTTTCCCCCCCTCGTCAACGCATCATAATTTGTACCGTTGCGGGGAAAAAAAGTGAGAAATCAATATTGAGTGATATGCGTGTGTCCGTTCATCATAAACACGACTTGTGTAAAACACAACAAAAGAAGAAGAAGAAGAAGAAAAGATCGGAGAGTACTCGACCAAATTGTGATTGGCGACTTTGCGATGGTAATTGTGCACGTACAACAAAATCGGCGGGTCGAGAATAGGGTGACGAATGATATTGGCGGTTGTTGACACTGTATCGAACAAAGTTACGGGATAACGTACTCCCCTCCGATCAAAAGAGAAAAAAATAATAATATTTGGATACTAAAGTAATATTGTGTGAGAGATGAGAAACTATGAGAGTGTACGTGTGAATGATTCTCGATATTTTGTATAAAGAAATGCGCGGAAAGAAAAAGAACCGATGACGACTCTTTGAGAGAGTCTGATGGGGATCACAGGAGTATTGGTGCGCGTGTGAGAAAAAAAACAAAAAAAAAAAAAAAAAACGAAACGAGCAATGCAAGGGAGGATGAAAAAGTGTGTGGGTCTCTTTTATTTCACCCCCATCGGCCCTTGAGTACCTACATGGATGAAGAAGAGAAGAAAAAAAATCAACTTGTCGCTAATAAAATTTATTAAACGTTGAAAAAAAAAAAAAAAAAAGAAAAAACTGTCTCGTTTATTTTGTATACCCTATACGTATGTCCATTAGATGTGATTCTTCGTACGGCAAGATGATGCGCGTTACGTAACCACCGGATCGATTATCAGGATTTATTTGCGGTCAGTCGCTAGAGGGAGGGGGGGGGAGTCCGACCGCAGAGAGTTATGGGGTAGGGAGTCGAGTGCACGTGCATGCGGACGCTGTCGCGGCTTAAATTTTAACGCGAAAACGCTTTTCCCGACCGCCCCCCCCCTCCTGTATCCTGTGCTCTCCTCTTTGGATCAGCCGCGTGTGGTTTCGGTGATGTGCATGCAGTGCACGGATAACGGCTATACGTGCCCCTGTATCCATCTGTATATACATGGTTTACGGTGGATTGTAACGTGCGGTGGGTTGCTGTTCTCCGTTCACTTTTTTTCGTTGTTTTTTTCTCTTTTTTTCTATCAAATTTTTGAGATTTAAAAAGGAAATCATGAAAATACAATACAAACAAAACAGTTTTCAATGGGTCATTCACAAATTATTCATTTATGGTAATTACAACTCTTTGCAAGTATACGTATGAAGAAACTCAAACTGCAAAAACAAGTAATTTGTATGAACATACTTTTTGAGATCAGAAACGTTTTTCACAAAATCCAAGCTACAACTCCAAGAAAACTATTTTTTTAAAAAGTTTTACCATTTGAAATTTAATGAAACTTTGGAGGGTTCGAAGTGAAGCGTTTTCCCGAAAATGTATAATTTTGTAATCTCTTAAAATACGTCTTGTTTCAAAGTGCCAAAATGATGGCCAAAAAGTTCAAGCTCGGCTGAAGTTGGCTCGTGCGCGGATTAAAAAAACATAGCTCGAGCGCCCTTTCGACGTCCTATTTGTCGAATTTTTCTTTTTTTGTAATTTTTGGCCCACTCCCCGAATGGCCTTTTATTGCCATATCTGGGCCCTCCGATATTTTGATATACCCCTCTCTGTAAATATTACATAGTAGGTATCGGCGGAGTATCGTTGAAATTCGGCAGGTGGAATCCAAGAGACGAGGCTCCATTGGCGGGCTTCGGATTCAATAAATTCCCGCCGCGCAGCGGAGGACATTCGTTCCCCCAGCGATCGATGGCCACAGAAGCCGAGGGGGCAGGGGGGGAACTGCACGAATGTGTACACTCCCTCCTCTTCTTCCACTTCTGTGTGTATAATAGATATTTCATTATTTCAGCCCCCCTCGCCCTATACATATACACTCTCTCTCTCTCTGATATTCTTGGCTCGGACTCCTTCCTTCCGTGTTTGCTTTTTCAAGAGGATTCGATATCGGATAGCGAGAGGGAAAACACGATGGGACACCCTTTCCAACCACACACACCCAAGCGAGGCTCTGATTTTATGGTCCTTCTCCGTATACGCGTGAGTTTACGTTTTTTATTGATTGACCAAATAGTTTGAAAAATAATTTTCTCGTGTGTATATACCTATTAATGAATAATATCCCGAAAAACGTGCGCCAACGTGTGAGCGACCCCCCAATCCCCTGCTGAAAAAGTAATCGGGCAATCGAACCGCGTAAATTATTAAAACACGAGGAGGAGGAGAAAAGGGGAGATTGCGCCGAGAGTATACTCGAGCATGTGCCTCCCCCCGTAGCCCCGGTGGACTGCTATACCTTCCTTCAATGTTTAAGAGTCGCTGGATTTTCACGAGGCACGTGTGTGTACACAGGACACCGGTGAAAAATCAATCAGCCGGTCCACCTCTGTGCACGGGGAGAAAATTTCTTACCATCTAGTACCAAACATTTTTCAATATTTACTCGGTACTTTATCCTCGGACATGCACATTTTTTTTTTTGGTTCCATCAAGAACATTTTTCTCTCGGTGTGCACTTGATTCGACGGGTGAAAAGTTCATAATGTACCTATACAGGTACAAGGTGTCTCGCGTTTCTTTGTGACTTGTAATATTTTTGGTCTACGCGGGTGGATGAAAAGAAAAAAAAAAAAAAAAAAAAAAAAAGTCGGGTTTAAAGGGAAACTCCAAATTCTCGGCCGAGGAGAGTAGAACAAAAGGGCCATTGATAGATCGAGAGGGCTGTGGGGTGAAATTTACGGGCCGTAAAATTACAGTCATCGCCTCGGCACCCACACATAGACACCCCTTGCGAGAAGGACGTGCCCCGCGACCTATACGAGTACACGTAAAAAAAGGAAAAAAAAAAAAAAAAAAAGATCGGAGGAGAAGACTCGTTCGCTCGTAGTTTCAATCCCGAAAGGTATAACGTATATAGCTATGGTCTATATTGGCAACGAGTTGTCCTCGATACAGCAACGCGACAGAACGGAACCGTTGTTGCTTATACGTATACACACGCTCCAGATAAAATTGGGACGTCGCCGCCTCTCCAAGCCAATGTTACATATAGGTACTTTGTGTGTGATGCAGGGCTGTTGGGAACAAGCCACGACACTATATATGGTAACTTTTGTGCGTACGACTGTATGTATGAAAATAGGTGATGGGCGAAAATAGATAAATCCCAAGTTGGTGCAGCTCAGCGGGCTAGAAAAATGGAACCGTCGATAGCTTTTGAACTTATGTATACGTAAACTCGAATTGCGTGCTACGTCCGCCTACCATAATATACACATACTTTAGATTCTTCCAACGAAAGAAGAGCAAGTTTCTTTTGTAAGTGTATAGGTTTACTTCTTACTTGAAAGCTGCAACTCAAGTAAACAACTCCTTTCTGCGGACAAATTTTCATTCGCCGCAAGTACACACAATTCAAGAGAGTAGCGTCGAGGAGAGGGAAAAACTTTGGAAAAGGCACGCGAGTGAGGGCACACACCGCACTCTTCGTCTTTCTCTCCATACAGGCATTTTTATTTATTTATTTTTTTTTTACACTTTTCCGGGAAAATAAAAAATTTCGTGCAAGCCGCAGCCAGCCTCCGATGCATGCACAAGAGGTCCAGTGTGGACGATGGTACGGAGAGAGGTCAAAACGAGGGCTAGGAGGGCCAGAATAGGGGCAACGGCTCTGTTCGACCGCCAAGGATCGATAAAATAACGATGCAACGAGAGTTAACGACTAAAATTAGGGCGACGCGATGCCGCCCTACACAAATACCTTCTATACTTAACAACAAATATAGATCCTTTCCCCCCCCCCCATCTATCTGTGCAGGAGATCGATAAGACATTAAAACAGCCGGGGAATCCATCCGTATGATATCTCTCTCTTTCTTTATCACACCCAGAGCGAGCATCTAAGAAAAACAGCTCTCTCTCTCTCTCGCGAAATTGAAATTCCGCCGTGAAATTCCACCACCGAAGATGGATCGAGAGCCCTGTATGTATAGAAACGTCGTGGGGGTCTAGGGGGGGCGGCGAAGGGGGTCGGTATACACAGCGTATCTTATTTACATTAAAAATTACGGGATGTTTTATAAACAAGGACCACACAGCCTCGCTTTTCTGCGTGTATACCCCTTTCTGTATCAAGTTAATTGGAAAGCTCTTTTTTGCCCCCCCCCCCCATTTAAACCGAAGCGTATACGTATACTCTTTCGCTGCTTAGAGCGAGGAATTGCGAAACTGCGTGTTTACCTCACCGATAAGGGGGAGGGGGGGCATTGGCTGTTTGATGTTTCATCTCCTTTCGAGCTGCAGTTTCCTTCGTTTAATCAAATTATGCGCTTCGAAGCGCGAGATGGTGACAGGCGAGTTTAAATACAACACAGGGTGATCTGGACCCCTTCTGCTCACAGTAACCTATACTTTTTTCTTTTTGTTTTTTTTTAAGCGTAAAAACCAAAAACAAAATAAACAGTGGGGAATGAAATTGAGAAATATAGTGCAGAGGGATGCATTCCAGCAGTAATAAAAGTATAGCCGTCAAAGGCAGGAAGAGGTGGATGGGGGGAGGGGGGGACGTGACGGGGAGCGCAGTAAATAAAATTTATCGGAAACGGGTAGGTACATCAGCCCTCGAGAAGGCAGGGAAGGAATCTCAAAGAAAATCCGAATAACGTCTCAATATCGGGAATTGTACGGGACCTATGGGGGAGGGGGGGGGGTCGAAAAAAGAGAAGGAGAGAGAGAGCGAAGTAACAGGTGAATGAGGGCATACTGTGTGGAATATAAAAGGAGGGAATATAGGTGTATACACGTATATAGTTATGCCCGAGGAGGAGAGAAATGGCAAATCGATCGATTCGGCGTGTGGGGGGGGGGGGGCAGAGCTCTATACATACTTTCTACGGGGGTATCCGTCAGAAAAAGAGAGATGGAGAGATTATTCTCATTACTATTGAATTTCGCGCTCCCAGCTGCCCACCCGCAGGGATTATAGAGCGTACACCACGTGCAGCCACTTTGGCCTTTTTGGCTGCTCCGCTGTGGTTTATCGAAGGTAAGGTATTTGATTTTGTACACGGTGTACTTACAGCTCTATTATGCTATTGCTTTTATATACACGCAGTCTCTTTCTCTCCTTTCCATTGTACATGTACACAGCTGTCTTTTCACGAGCATCCGATGATAAATCTTTGTCTTCGTCGGTAATCTTTGTTTTTGCTTTGTTTTTTCACTCTCTATACTTTTTTTTTTTTTTTTTAATATTATAGTGCTCTACGTCCGGCTCCTTTAATAAGGGCACTACAATTGGGCACTTAGCACTTGGGAAAGGGACAAGGAAAGGGATGGGAGGGGGTAGGGGGAAATTAGGCAATTTTTGCTGCGAGAAGGTCGCCTATACCCTCCTCGAGGAACATTACGTGGTGAAAAAGCACTTGTGAAAATATACAGAGGTACCTGCCCGAAAAAGTCGCACTATGGCCGGGAATCGA